CTATACTGACTCTACAAGTCTTAGACGAAGGAAAATAAAGAATTCTAACCACCCCCACCCCTGCCGTTTCCCAGCAACTCCAAGATCTCTGCTGCACTGAGCAGCCCGGCCCGCCCGGCAGGCCAGCGGAGCGCGACTAAGGAAGCGCCTCCGGAGCCGAGGCGGCTGCCATGGGTCCCCTCCGAATGTGGGAAGGGCACGGGAGGGACAAAGGGGAAGGGTTTCCGGGTTTCGGCTCTTTGCTCCTGTTCCCGCTGCCTGTGTAGAAAGTGTGAGGATAAGCAAGGGCCAGCGGTGTCCGCGGTGGCCGCGCCAGAGCCTTGACACCCTGTGAAGACTTGTGTCCCTTTGCAAATGACCTCTCTGGGACACACCCCCGGGGGCCGGGACAGCCTGCCCTCAGCTAGGCCGAAGGGCTCTTTGCTGCCCCCCACCGCGCCCCCCGAGAACAACGTCCTCCTGGGTCTCACCAGCCAGCTTCGCGGCTCGGTTTTCCCCTTTTGCACGTTCGGCCTGGGCAGGACGGGCCTCGGCACGAGAAAAGGGCATCCGGGCTCGGAGAGCGGCCCCGGCACAGCGCCGACACCATGACACCACGGCGCGGGCAGCAGGGAGGGCCGCCTCCCCCACCTTCCCAGGTCCCCGTGCGCTGCTCCCATGCCCCTGCTCTCCTCTCCGGTTCCAAGGTGCGCCCACCGCGCACGCGGAGGAGGAGTGAGCCGCACGGAGGGGCGCAGGCAGGCTGGGCCGGAGACAGTGGTGTCCGATGGGGCCCTGGACCTGCGAGACGGCCCTGCACGTCAGACCAGCGCGGCCGACGCACCCGAAACCCAATCAGAGGGGCAATGCCGTCTCCTTCGGCAAGTCAGGTATAAGGAAAAACAAACGCACGAGCAACAGTTTCCACCTAATATAGTCACCTCGCCCCCCACCCACCCTTCCCGAACCCTACAAACTGTCACCTATGAACAGGATCCCAATACATACAGCATCAATCATGTTTACCAGTCATAATACACATCAGTTAACTAAATGCTATAGCTACAGTTACTTCCACTATTTATAAAGTTTTCTCTTTTTATTTATTTATTTGGTTTTGAGTTTAAAACCAGTTCTGCAACAACGCTAGCCTATGCTGAGGTATTTCATGGCGGTGCTGGAGCTCTCTGCCACCCTCCGGCACTGCCCTCAGGGTCGAGGGTGTCGCCATTCCTAGAGGGGGGGCGGGGCGGGGAGGGGCGGGGAGGGGGGTCCAGGCTCCAGGCTCTGCCCCGCCAGGCAGGTTCCCACGGCAGCAGAGGCCGAGGGCGGAGGGGCTGGGACAGTGAGGGGCAGCAGCTCACGAGCCACGGGAAATCCAGGTGTGAAGGGGACAACTCAGAGAAACATCCCCACCCTCCGGATGGAGCCCTGTCAGACGGCTTCCTGGGGACCTCAGGTGTCCCCTGTAATCTCTTTGGGTTAAGGAAGGGATGCGACAGAGCGGGACCTTCTGCCTCTGGTGCTCTCGGCCGTCAGCGATAAACACACCTCACTCTCCTCGCCTGGCCCGAGCCCACATGCGGGCCACCTCTGCACAGCCAGTCCGAGGTCCTCCCAGACGGCCAAGGAGGACTTTTTTCCTTTGTAAAAGTAAAGGTGAATACTAAGAAAGATCTACCACCCTCTAAAGTGTTATCCTCAAAATGTCTCAAGACTGAAAATGACTTCAAAATGGCCCGGACTAGGAACAGTGTCACACACTGAATGCTTTGCGCGCGCACACATGGAACAGTGAACTCATAATGGTTACGGTCAAATTAATCCATCAATTCTTTCCCACTGGAATAATTTTAAAACTCAGATCTTTGGTCTTTTCACCTTCTCAGCTCTAACAAGCACGGCCTGAAGAGCACAACTTCAAAGTCACCCGCTCCCAATGCTGAGGAATGACACAGCCTTGGCTGCACTCTCGCAATGAAGTGCTGAGGCTTCTCAGCAACCGAAGGCCCGGAAGTCGCCAACGGCCCCGGGCCTCCCGGGGCTAGGAGCGCCACGGCGGGGAAGCCCGCGGGGCGCCCCGCGCCTCTGCCCCTCAGCCAGCTGACGCCCGCGGCCCCGAACTTCTCCCTGCCAACACTTCTCCTTGTCTTCCTCGCTCAACGGTTTTACTTTCAACTGGTAAAAGAAGTCTTGTGAGGACGATGTGGCCTGGGAGCAACTTCAGACTATGAACAACCACAGTTTCTTCTGCAAGCCACCAGCTTACTAGACACTAATTGCAATGTTTACTATCCGAATTTATCACTTTAAAAGTCTGCATTAATTTCTCATGTTTGCAAATGCCGCCAGCTTTCCCAGCAATTTAAACAGAAAATTCAATGTTAAAGATTGGGTTGAATTTAAATACTGTGTCAAGCAAGTATCTGTGCTTCTGGATAATATAAAGGTTTCCTCTACCTTCACAAATAAATGAAGGGTAATAGGACAAAATAATATTTTTTAAAGAGAGGTATAATTGTGCTTTTTCCCAACATTATATGAATGATGTAGAACCGGCAAGATAATCTCACTAAAATTTTTAAAGTTAATCTTATTTTCCCTTTAAAAGAGAGGTTGTCAATGTCAGCAGCGCTGCCCGCCCACGGGGCAGCGGGCTCCGCCCTCCGCTCTCCAGTAATAAGCCAGTGAATGGGGGCAGGGCTGAGCTTTCTTAGCAAATAAACAAAGGGAGTGTGTGTGATACCACTAACAGATGTGAACAACGAACGTATCTAACTCTAAAGAGCTGCATTCACACTAAAGCGACTGGGTCCTGAGGTCGGGAACCAGCCCAGGGTCCCGCGAGCAGCCCTCTTCTCGGCCTTCCCGCCCCCCGGGCCTGCGCAGGCGTGGCTGAAGGCCCCGACCTGCTGGCACTGCCGCAACGAGCCCGCGCTGGCCAGTCCCGGCTGCCAGTCCCCGGGGAGGCCCCGCCACGGGCTCGGCGGGGCCACGGCACGTGCACCGGAGCGAGTCTTTGGTTTAACGTGCCAGCCAAGCTCAGGGTGAAGCGGCGCCCGCAGGCACGTGACGGGGAGACCAGGAGGCGGACGCGATGGCCTGCGATGGCCTGCGATGGCCTGTCTGGCTCTTCCTGCTGGAAGCGCAGGGACGCAGACCAACACCTCTTTCTGGTCAAATGCCCCCCTTAATTTCCAGACTCCCCCAGAAGGTGTCTAACAGCTGCGTCTGAATAGCTGGCTTCAGAGAGTCATTCAATCCAAAAAGCTCTTCTTGAGATGATGAGAGGATGCGAAGTGACAGAGGACCGCCGGGCGCGTCACGGAGGGGCACGGCCAGCAGGCTGCCCAGGGATGGGGCGGGGGTCTGTTTCAAGCTACCTGCCCAGCAACAAGCTGTTTTAGTGTTTCACATGTACGTGTATAAATGTATCTTTTATTTTGCAACTGTTTTTAAATAATAGAAAAAAATTTAGTTACCTTTGTCTAAGAATTCACTTTTTTTAAATGCCAGGTTTTTGTGTGGTTTCAGGTCTGTTTATCCTCATAAAGGGTTTCCCCGGCAGAACCCTTCTCCCAGGGCCAGGCAGGGCCGGGGACAGAAGGCCATCGCCCAACAGTTGAGGCCAGTATCTTTTTAAATGCTTCAGTCGCTCGGTCAGTCACAGTTGGGGGAGGGAGCATCTTTTGAGCCGCACAGGAAAACCAACACAGCCTGTCCTTGCCCTTCCGCTCGGCCTTTGGGCTCGAGTCCCTCAGGACTTGACACTTCCTTTGGTAGCAATTTTGGGAAATTCATGCTATCACCTCTAGCCCAGCACCGGGGGAAGCAGCACCCGCTCCCCGAGCCCGCCCCCGGGGGGGGCCCCACCAGCACGGGCAGCGGCAGGAGGACTGGCAGCCCCGCAACCATTTGCCCAGACTGCGCGCCAGACGTCCGGTCTCGGGGGAGCGGCGTGCCGGTCACGGCCACTCCGTCCACACACCAAACAAGCGACGCTAGTTAAACTCAAGGTCGCGTCTGCCCAGAGGATAGCACAACTTACCAACATAAAAGATTAAAAGAAGCAGCAATTTTACATAAAATTAATAAAGACAATGAAAAAGAAATTGTCAGTAGCATCTAACTCCTCAATGTGTCTGAACCGCACAATATAAACTAGTCCATTAGTACAGCAGCTTGCTAAAAATTGACTTTGGTTCAAGCTTAGTTAAAAAAAAACAACAACATAAAAACACACCACACGTCAGGAAGGTGGATGGACATTTGCTGGTTTCCCTGCTCGCAGGTCACTGACTCGGGAGGCATTTGGGGCGGGCGAGGGCGAGAGGCGGGCACCGAGGGTGGGAGTTACATACTTCATGAAGTAGAACAGGAGGGCAGAGGAACAAAAGAAAACCAACGAGGGGACAGAAACGGTTCTGGCCTTTGAACATGAGCCGCACCCCACTCGGCCGATCACAAACAAAACGCACACTGCGTCGTCGGTCGCAGCCCTTCCCAGCGCCGCAGGCGCGCGGCGCACAGACCCAATCTCCCTCCTGGCCCGCCCAGCGACGAGGGTGAAGCGGCCCGCGGGCCCGCGGCCGGAGCGAGCAGTGCCGGCTTGCGAGGCGAGGCCAGCACACACCGAGGACGCTGGCTGGCCAGGCCTCACCTGAGTCAGACAGGGTACGGGGCACAAGGCAGCGACCAAGTCATGGGGGTTTTGGTACAGACACTACAATCACAACAGGACAATGACGAAAAGGGAATCTCATTTCCCCTTCACCCTCATTCCTCTTCACCTGCTGCACAAACTCCTTCTTGCCTTGGGCTCTTTACATAGTCCAGAAACACCCGGAAAATGGGCCAGAGGCCCGCCCCGCCCCGCCCAGAGAGGTGACTGCTGTCGGACCCGCCCCCAGGGCATCCCCAGCCAGCCCCGGGTGACACCTGCCCTGCCGGGGCCTGCGGGGCCTGCGGGGCGTGCGGGGCTCCTGCCCAGAGCCCTGCAGAAGCCCTGGGGCCCGTGGCAATGCGCCTGCGCCTCACCCCTCAGAGGACAGCGCCGTCTCAGGGAGACAGACCTCCAAGCCCCCTGGGGACAAGGAAGTCTGTGGCTAGGAGAGGAGGGACAGGGACCTCGGCCCCCGCTCACCATGTCTGTTGGAGGTCAGTCACCAACAGAGAGCCGTCTGGCAGGGCTCCTTCAGAGGACGCCGCAGGGAAAAGGGTCCCGATCTCCACGAGTCAGTTTGATCTTTGCCAAGCAAGTTAAAAGAAGTCTGGACGAAGACCTCCCACACAGTGGAACAGACAAACACACAGCGACAGTAGGAGCATTTCTCAGGAGATTAGGAGTCAGGAGGGCCACCCGGGCAGGTGTCTGCAGTAGTCTTTGCTCTTGGAGCCTGGGCCCCGTGCGCCCCGTGCGCCCCGTGGGAGGCAGGAGCAGCGCCGGCGCGCCCGGGGCCCCGGTGTGGGGTCCTTCAAGATCAGAGTGAGAGGCACAGCCCAGCAGGCGCGGCTGCCCTTGCCAAGTGCCCCGAAGGCACCGCCCTGCGGGGGCGTGGGGAGCGGGCGTTCGTGCTCACTGCCCTCGGCTGCTGCGCCGAGCCTCTGGCGTAAGTGGCAAAAGGAAACAGCTTTCTGGGACCTCTGTAAGAGTCATCAGGGACACGGAGACCAGCAAGAGCGTTCCGCAGTCAAGAACGCACGTTCCCCCGACCCACACCCCTCCCCACAGCGTGGGAGCTCACTGAAACAGGATCCAGGAGCGAGACAAACATGTCCGAACTATATATATATAAAAACAATAACAACAACAACAATAATAGAGATACAGTAACACAGGCCTGCCTAAGTTGTACCAGTTAAGAAAGGAACCCCCAACACAATCGAAACTATTATAAACACCTTGTTAGGACTTAATGGCCTATACAACAGACCCATAAAAATGATTTTTTTAAGAAAAAAAGGAATTTAGACAAACGAGAAATCCCCTTCCTATACTGGAATGGTAACCCACCTTCACTGCCATCCTGACTGCTGGAAATGATAAGCAGGAAGTAGTCCTTTCACTTATTTTTTGTTTTTGATTTTTTGTTTCTGCTTTTTTTTTTTTTAAATTTTTCGTTAGAAAGTTCTCCAATCCATGAAGCAATCCTGAAAAGACAGTGTTTTATTACAAAATTAGGCAAATGCTGTCCGGTTTCCACCCTTCCTTTCCGGCACGTGTCTCCCCTCCTTGCCTCTCCTCTCCCTTGCCCGAGGCAAGAGGGAGCCCGCGGCCAGGCCACCGCTGGGGGGCCCGACGGCACTGCGCTCGTGCAGGGGCAGCGGCGGCCGCTCACTGGGCCTTGGAGGCGGTGGTGGTGGTGGAGGCGGCCCCGCCGGCAGAGGCCACGGTGAAGAGAGAGTTCTGGATGGACTCCGCAGAGGTGGAGGCGGCGTGGAGGCTGGCGACGGGCCCAGAGTTCCCCGCGGAGGCTGCGGCGGCAGAGACCAGGCTAACTGGGTTGCTGGTGAGCAGAGAGAGGTTCTGGGGGTTCAGGAACAGGGGGGCAGTCACGATGTTGGGGGCTCCTCCCGCATTGGCAAAGACCAGGTTCCCAGTTGCATCCAGTGATGTTATTGGAAGAGAGCCACCAGAAGCAAGAGCTACGGACAGACCCCCAACAGGCGGAAGGAGAGCGTTAGTACCGTCCCGGAGAGGCCCAGGGCACGCCGACAGGCTGACCCCCCAGGGCCCACTGGGACAGGGTGGCCCTCCGCGAGCCCTCCTTCCCCGAGTGCCGAGCGCCGAGCACTGCCCTGTCACAATGACAGCTCTGTGCTAACTGTGAGGGAGCCCGAAGGACCGAGTGGCCCAGCGATCCTGCACGGGGCGGGGGTGGGGCGGGGGACTGTCTGACCCACCAGACGCAGAGTCGCGCCTCTGGCAGAGAGCCCTGCCTGAGGTCACCAGCCTAGACGCACCCGTAAATCCAGGGCCTTTGTTTTTAGTGAAGATCACTGATTTTAAACTACCTCCACTCAAATAACCAGCTCTAGTGATTACTGCATTAAACTCTAGTTAGCTCTTCTCAATCAAACTGGCACTATTAAAAATTTGAGCACTTTATGGTTGGATACACAAGATGAAAAACTGTCTTTCAAAAGGCGTTAGTTTTAAAATAAATGACATGTTACCGGTCAAGTGTAACGTGTGACCGAGCTCTCCCAGAGGCAAACCGCTGCCCCCCCTGACGGCAGGGAGCGTGGGGGCTGCGGCAGGAGAGGGGAGATGGAGGGACCCTCAGGTTAGGACTTGCTTTAACACCTAAGAATTTTCTGTGAAGACGTCATCAGCCGGATTTTCTTTAAACTAATTGGGTGCTCTCATTTACTAAGTTCTCCTGTTATCTGACAACCCCTCGAAATCTTCCGGACCCATAAAACCACACCTCCACATGGAGATCTGGAGGCTCCTCCAGGCTTTAAAAATTCGGTTAATTTCTCGCGTACTCCACAGAGCAAGCCGGAGGGAGGGCAGGGGCCGTCCCCGACTTGGCCACCATAGCACAAAGAGCCCGCAACCACGGACCCCGCGCGCTGGGAGCTTCCCCAGGCCCCAGGCTTAGGCCACAGACCGGCTCTAGGTCTCCTGGAGTCCTGCTTGCCACCGGGGATGGGAGAGCCCCCGTGCGGTGTGAGGAGAGTCATTTCTCGTCAACCCGGTCCCAACGAGGACCCCTGGGCTGACATGACAGGAGCTCCACAGGCCGAACCATCAGTTCTGCGTGGCGCGGAAGCCAGCGTGGTGCATGGCGGCCGGGCGGCGGCCGGGGCTCGCCCGCAGCTGCCTTGCTCCACAGCACACACTGCAGAAGCGTCGGCCGTGCGCCGCCCCCCTTTACCGGGGCTGGCTCCTGGCTTGCGTTCGGCCTCTAGGACTCTCCCTCAGTCACAAACTGTCTTACTTTAAGAAAAAACACTCTCTGATTAACAGAGGGACGCCTCTCAAACCGCCTCCCCGAGCCATGTCACGGTGCGCACCTTCAGATACAAGCTAGGGGTTTCCCAAGGCGCACCCTTGGGAGGGGCCGAATGAGGGGTGTGGACGCACCTGAGACTGGGCAGCACACCAAGGCCAAGGGCACCCGGCCGGCGCAGGAAGGACATTACCGCCCGAGAGCACGTGCCGCAAGGGTGGGGTCCCCAGGGAGCAAGCTTCTCAAGCACAGGTAGCTCTCTCCGGGTGGAGGTGGGGACGGGGGTTTCACTGGGTCAGGTTTGCCAGGGGAGGGTCTGGGATAAGCTCATTGGGGAAATTCTGCCCCCAAGTCTAATCACCTCAGAAAATAAATAGCAGCATAAAAGCCCTGGTTTCTTACAGTACACCAAACAAGTGTATCTCCCGTCTGAAATCACAAACCGGCCCCTATACTTCTCCACGTGGTTTTTTTACAAGGATGTTTTCTTGGGCCTCAAGTTAGTGGGCAAGACCCATCCCCCACCCCGCCCCGTTCCCAGCAGAAGGGCCGTACTGACCTTGAATGGTCGCCAGTGTGCTGTTGCTCATCAGGGCCGGGCTGAGCGCGCCGCCCAGGGTCCCTGGGTTGAGGCTGAGTAAGGCACCTCTGCAAGCGAAAGGGGCGGGCAGGCGGTCAGTGCCCCGCTGCGCCACGGGGCGAGGGGCACACATGGGAGCGTCTGCCATCCCCGACGGCGTGCGGCACACAGAGCAAACAAGACTGGAGGCCCTGTGTCACCTCGCGGCCCCTCTGACCCTTCTCTGCAGTATCTCATTCTCTCTTTCCAAAAGAAAAATGCCAGAGAAAGGAGCATCTTTGCAGAGTAATTCTGATGTTTGAGAACATGAAATTGGGAACCTGCCGCGCCATCCCCACGTCTGTTGGAGAATCAGAAAGCGGCCAGCTGAGCGAGGTGGGCAGGGAGCGCGCCCGCAAGAGCTGGGGGGTGTCCCCGGCCCCCCGCCACCCGGGCAGGGTGGTGCTGCTGCCTGTGCCACACCCGGGAGCACAGGCACGACTCCTGCCCTTCCGCCCGCCCCGTCCCTGCGCTGCCACACAACGGCCCGCTGCAGAGCGCCCACGCGGGAGGTTTTGTGGGGGCCCTTGCACTGAGGGCAGCGATGGGAGGTCTCCGTCCCCATCGCCCTCCCAGGGGCCTCTCAGGCACAACAGCGGGGGGAGGAGCCCTTACCCAGCTGCGAACTGCGAGGGGGCCATCAGACCCGGGCTCAGCCCCGCCGCGGCGGCCATGGCAGCGAGGCTGGCGTTGGCCGGCAGCTGCGTGGCTCCGGGCAGCGCGGCGGCCGCGGCCGTCTGCAGCCCCGCCGCTGTCACCGTCACTTGGCCGGTCCCGAGCGCGGAGGGCAGAGGGGTGGAGGCGGTCTGCGTCGTGCTGGTCTCCCCCGCGCTGGAGGCCTCAGAGGCCGAGGCGGACGCGGAGGCGGACGGGGAGGGGCTCAGAGAGGGGGGCGTGACGGCCGGGGCTGCCGCGGGCGCGGTGGATATCACAGTCGCTGCTGTGCTGTTGGCGGCGGCTGCGTCGGTGGTGCCTGCAGAGACGGCCGGTCAGGTCAGGACGGGCCAGTGCGCAGGACTGGGTCGGGGGCGGGCTGCCTGACTGAGGGACCCAGCCCAGTCCCTACCCACCGTCCCTTCTGCGGACCTAGTGTTGCTATAGAGATGACCCGCTTTAGGACCACAGCTTAGGAAAGAATGAACTGCAGGGTGTTGGACAGCGAGACAAATAAAAATGGATCCAGATGTGTGGGTGAGTATATGTGCCTGTATATACATCTGTGCATCTTACACACATGCCCACGCCTGGGTGTGCACACTTATTTCCGCGGAGATGCCCTAGAATGGGGTCCCCAACCTGTGGGCCTGTGAGGAACCAGGCCGCACAGCACACAGTGAGCTTGAAGGTATCGCTCTTGAGTCATCCCGAAACCATCCCCTCCACCCCGGCCTGTGGAAGAACTGTCTTCCACAAAACTGGTCCCCGGTGCCACAAAGGTTGGGGACGGCTGCCCCAGAAACAATACCACAGCATCAGTGAGTGTGTCTAATGGCCTCGAAGTGCCTTTCCTCCCTGAGGAGAACTGGGAACCCTTGGGGACACACAAAAGTGAGCCTGAACATCTTGTGTCAGAAAATAAGGACCCACTCAAAGGATGACAGGGACACGTGAAAGGGTACAGGGGCCAGCGGAAGGCACTCCCACTGACCAACTCTGGGACAATTTTAACACTGAAATAAAGAGGGATATAGTTCTAACCTGCTGGATACAAAAGAATGTCTGAGTCCATACTAATACAGAGAGATAAATAGGGAAAAGGAAAAAAGTCATACTTAAACTTACTAGCGATATAAAAACGCTCATTCCCTTTTGACATCATGGCCAGGCCCCGGAGCCAAAGCACTTATGAAGCAAAACAGAAGTGCAGACGCAGAACCTACCCAGTGCCTCGCTAGCGCTCAGTCAGCCCGGCGGACACCCGCAGAGCGCCCACACATCACATGACCTTAAAAAGCGTCTGAGGACCTGCTGCTGATTTTAAATGTATTTGGGAAATCTGCTATTTAAAGGCGGCCACAGAGGAAAAACATTTATCTATTATTTTATAGTGAGTGCGTCAGGCGCTAAGCAAGAAATAGAGATTAAAAAAAAAAAATTCAGATCTTTGAGAAGTGCAAAGTCTACTGGCAAAGAGAGGATAAATTATAAAACGATGACCCTTTATAACACGGGCAGGTAGGGACGAACGGTTCCCTGGGAGAGCTAAAAAGCACATCCAAGAGGAAGGGCCACCCAGCCGGGTCATTCCAGTGCCTCCGGAAAGGCGCGCAGGCCCCCTCTGGCCGCCGCCCCGCACTGAGGACGAGGCACAGGGAAGCTGGAGGGTGCCCGGGTCCATGGGAAGTCACCTTTGGGAGCCGGGGTGGCTGTGGGTGCTGTCTGGGGGGCAAAACGCTGCAGTTAGTCAAGGTTTTTAAGAGGAGTCACTTAGAAAGAAGCGGGTTTTTGGAAAGGCAGCTCTGGAAGTAACGGAGAAGATAAAGTGAGGTGAGGAAGAACAAAAACGATGACATTTTCATGTGAAAGCATCCCTGACAAAACTGTGCCCGAGCTTCCGGAGCCCAGGTTCGCACGTGTAAGCTGAGGGGAAGCAGCCCCTCGAGCGGCCCGCCCCCCGCACTGGTGCGGCTCTCACCTGGGACGGGGAGGCTGGTCACCGCGGCGCTGGTCAGAGGGAGGACGGGGTTCACGGCGAGGGTGGTGGCCGCGCTGCTGGTCACGAGGCTGGGCGTGGTTGCCACCTAGAGGTCAGAAATGAAAATAGGCAGAAGCATTTAAAAGCCAAAACTTAACAATTTTCTAAGTCCATATTATGGGCTTGTCTGGCCTGTAAACACTCGCAACAATCGGCATGTGTTGAGAGGTCGCCATCAGAAGAGGGCGCTTCCTGAAGACACACGGCTTTGCCCAGGTTTTAGAAAGAAATGATTTAAAAATCTCTCAATTTCAATAATATTGAGTCAAGTGTAACCTAGTCAGTAAGAAATATTACACTAACTGCCACCTTAACCTAAACAAGGAAACTATTCAACAGGATCAGTGAAATCTCAGCTTGTTGTTTAATTTTTGACTTGGGAGAGGGGGCAAGATTGTCTTGTTTTTGTTCTTAATGAAATGATATTATGGAAATAATGGAAAACAAATTTTTTAAAAACTGCAGTTTCCCTTTGAAATAGCATAAAACATTTCTGCAGTGTTAGAAGAAGTACTGTCTTCATTCTAGCAAAATAAATCCCGAACAGAACCACATGGCCACCTGCACAGAGCAATGCTGTACCCACGACCCCCGCTCCCTAACCGCCGCCTCGCGGGCTCGGCGATCGAAACCCCCGCTGGGCAGCCACGGCCTCCCCTTCAGCTGCCGGCGCGCGCCGCCAGCCTGACGCTGAAAGCCTCCCGGTGCAGAGCGATGCGCAAACAGAGCGAAACCGCCGCACGAGCCAGGGCCGGGGACGCACACTCCATCTCCCCAGCTGGGGTCCTGCTTGGCCCTGTGGAGTCACATTGCTATCACCCTAAAGGTCCAAGGTGCCACACAAGCACCTGGGTCCCTTCAGTCTAGGAAGGTGGCCGTACGATTTTAATGCAAACAGTGAGGGTCGAAGTGAAAGGCCTCAGGTCTGAGCACCAAGACTCGAGGGGGCAGTTTTAACACAAGTTCAGAGCTCTTCTTGAACAAAGGCCACCCGCGAATTGACTGTCCCTTATTCATGTCAGTGTAAGTTTAGTATATTGGACTTTAGAACTCAACATGAATAAAAAGCAAGGAATGATTTTTTCAGATAACGATAATCAGCGGCAAATTTACTCCCACAATTAGAGTAACCTAAAAAGCTACACCAGAGAAGAGAACAATGGAAATGCTGTGAAATGGGAAAGAATTGAAATGTTCAGTTTAAAAAGGAAAGATCGATGAGTTCTTGGCTTAATGTGAGATTTAATTGCTTTGATAACACCTAAAATATAAATCTATATACATTCATTCAGCATGGACAGACACACAATGAATTGTTTGATGCACTACATGGACCAAACAGGTCAGCTGTAAAACCGAAAACGTGCCTGAGCAGCTGCGTGCCGTGTGCCGCCCCCGCCCCCGCCCTGCCACCCCCCGCCTTCCCCGCTCACCAGCGAGGCCGGGCTGGGGAAAACCGCCTTGATGGGCGAGCCGCTGGTCCCGCCGCTGCTGGGGGGGTTGATCCTCTTCTCCTTCTGGCGGCGGTTACAAAACCACACACGGATCACCTCCTTCTCCATGTTGAGCTGCTCAGCGATCATGGTGATCTCCTCCGAGGTAGGCTTTTGATTCTGCGGGGAAACGGCCTTTGGAATAACTTTTGAACTGCTGGCGTAGCGCCCGCCATCCTGCGTGTAGGCCCATGGGCGGGCGGGCCCAGATGCAGAGCCGGGCGACCACAGCACCCCGCCTTTAACCAAACCTCTAGAGACAGATGTCCCAATGAACACGAGTTTATTAAAGGCATTGTAATAAGTCATCCTTAAGTGTACTGTTTCCTTTTAAGGGCTGTTCATCTTGACTAGAATTAACAGCCACTGCAGCCTTTCGAGCTGGCAGGAACCCGAGGATTTCTCAGTGCCTCACGCACACGGCCGCAGCCGGACCACGTCACCGGGCCGGCAGTAAGCCTGTGGGCCTGGCAGGAGGGAGTTCCCAAGGAAAGGCACTTCAGCCTAAGGACTCAGTGGCTGGCCGGTGACACAGCCCCTAAGTGGCGGACGCTAGGCTCCTGATTCAGTGCTCCCGCCCCTGCACTCAAGCCTCTCTGAATCAGAGTCAACATTCTGTTGGAGGCTTTGATTGTGATATTCCCTGGTACAAAAAAAAAAAGCCAAATATCTGTTGAATTAACTTGAACTCAACAGCCTGACGTTGGGGCCCGTGGTGTTCAGGTCTCCGACTGCGGCTGCAAGTACAGACACCAGAACTGGGCCACACCAACCGCCTGTCGGCCCTGACTCGCCTTGGGACTCACCCCGCGGGCCCCTGGCAGCTGCTGCCTGTCCCGCAGGGCGCTCCAGGGCCGGGAGCCTGCTCTCCCCGGAGCCCCGGGGGCCCCCGTTCTGTCTGCGGTCTCCTTCCCTCCACGGCCGCCCGCCCGCCCGAGCCAGGGCCGTGGCACCAGCGTAGCACCACACTGACAGCCACACGCACACGAGAAGGGAAGCCCCCACTGACCTCCAGGAAACTCTTCTCTAAGGCCACACGGATGTTGGTCTCTATGCTGGTGCGTTTCTTCCTCCGACGGTTCAGGCCCTCAATCCCCTGCCCTGGAGAGTTCAGGGCACTGGGGCTGGAGAGCGCAGAATCGGATGAGAGGTTCTCTGAGAAGGGGGAGGCAGGGGTCAGAGGGGCTCACGCGCCCCATCCGTGTAGCACAGACACTGAAATCCACCACAACAAAGCCGACCGAACTGTTCCAAGCCTCAGGTGCGCATGAAAAGGTTCTCCCGACCGACAAGAAACCCCGCTGCCCCAGGTTCTGCTGCCCTCGCTGGCATCTGTCAGCCCTGCCCTGCGACCCCTGTTCCCGAGAAGGCGGAACTGGACTCTCCCTGCCCTTAGACATGGCTCTACCTCTGCTGAGTTCTGTCCTGTTTTGGTTTTGCTTGCTTATTTATTTATTAGCTCTATGGATAAAAGAAAGCTCGTTGGAAATTACTTAACATTTAATATTTGTCTTGTAAATGACCTATCATTTTATTAGTAGAACCCAGGGCAACACCTCTCCAAAAACCAGCCAATGAAACACCCCTAAATTCCCAGAGGCTGGAACAGGTTCTGTCCTGTAGTGGCGGAAGGACCCCGGCCTCTCGAAGCTGGCCCGGGGCGCCCCTCCACACTGCAGAAATGGGGGCGGGGGCGGGGACGCAGGACGGGCAGAGCGGGCGCTCTCACCCGGGGAGCTCAGCAACGGTTCAGGGCCGTGGACGCAGGTTGTCCAGGGTGGGGGTTGCGGGGCTGCTTTTTCCAAAGACCTGGTTGTATTCCCAGCTAAATGAGAACCACCGTCTGGGGTCTGCACGCTTCCTTCCCGCTCTCATGGCCTGTGATTCTATGCCTCAAACTGCAAATTTTCCAAAAGGAAACCTCAGCGAAAAACATGCAAGTTAAAACTAGCTGCTCAATTTCTTATGCGTGAAATATGCGGTCATTTTTAGCAACAAGCAGAAACATTATCAAGAACAAATTTATTTCTAATCACTGAGTAAAAATCAATAAACTTGTTTTTCAAGTTTATCTGAATGCTCAGGCCTTCTCTCCTCTTGCCTTTGACAGCCCTCAACCCTGGCTCAAACGCGAGAACTATTCCAAGGCTAAAAGCTGTCGCCGGTTATGTGCACTGCATTCACTATTTACACGAATCAGCGCTCCGATTTACGGAGCATCGTTTACACGGACCCTCCAAGGCTGGCACACTTCACGATTCTGCAGCACCACTAGCGCGATGTGAACCGCACGCCCCGATGCACGGCGACCCCCGGAAGATGCCCGCGGACAGCGAGGCCGTTCTCGCTCACCTGCATCATTGAGCCACTTCTCCAAGAGGGGCTTTAGCTTGCACATGTTCTTGAAGCTGAGGTTCAAGGCTTCAAAGCGAGAGATGGTGGTCTGGCTGAAGTCATTCCCGTACAGTTTGCCCATCGCGAGCCCGACATCGCCCTGCGCAGGAACACGAGGGTGGGGCCAAGAGAGGAGGGAGTCGGCTCACTGAGGCCGAGGGCTCCCCTCCGCAGCACCCTCCAGGCGGAGACCCCCGTGCTCCCTCTGCAGGCTCCAGGGCAACACCCACCCTGAGCTGCGCACCCCATGCCAATGAGGACACCAGGCCCCGCCCCTAATGACAATCCAAACTGTCCCCAGTCTGTGCTCTCAATCTCTTCTTGACACCTTATGTAACGGGCAAGATTCTCAAGTATTCCTGCTAAGCTTCAAAAGATGGTGCTGACAGTCCAACAAGCCCCATAACTGGTGTAACCAAAGCCATTTAAGTACTCTTTAAAAATCAGTTTACCTGTCTCACCTTCAGGGTTAACAGATGAAACCACCTAAGTAACTTCAGATGTTTCTGTAATAACCAAACTTCCCATAAATCACTTTAAAATCCAGAAATGATGCCTAGTTCTTTTTTTTCCTTCCTGTAAAGTATCTTGGGGAGCATTGAAAAAAATCTATTTTTCACCCTTCGTTTGGATTTCAAAGTTGGTTACAAAAAACAGGTATTCTAAAAGACGACTTTTATAACTGTTATGGAGATAGAAATTCACAGTAGAGAAGTTTGACCCATTTAGTCAAACCTTCATGGGCACTGAAACTCAGTAACCTTCTAGCAACAGAACAATGGTCCCCTGAATATATTACAAAGACGTCTTTCTCCATAAGCCCATAACCTTTGAATGTACACAGCACTTTTCCTCCAGCCGAATCTCTCCTGTTAGAGCTGGGAAAAGCCACATCTTAACAGTTATTTTTTGTACAGGCAGCAGGAGCTCCTGGAGTTGAAACGACTCGCCCTCTCGTTCCCGTCGGGTTAGAGGCAGGTAAGGAGGCAGCGCTCCGGCCCAAAGCGCCGCGGCGCCGACTCTGCCGTGGGGCGACCACGCCCAGCACCGCCAGCTCGTCCTGCGAACGGGCCGCCCCAGGCCTCTGGTCCTCTGTGAGCCATCTTTTGGACACTACACTGCTTATTAGCGCCTGTGTTAGGTGGTCGTCAGGGAACGGAAAGGATACTTTAACTCCATTGTCTTACTGGGAAGCAACTTCTGATAAAGAGTTTAACAGAGGAGAAACGCTGGAACCGAAGGGCGAGGCACCGAGAGGACAGTAGGCCTCCCCTGATCTACACCTGGGCCTTCCCGTGGGGCAGCCGCTGGCCACGCGTGGCTACTTAGATGCGAATGAATTCAGTCAAGGAAACCCCCATCCCTCAGCGGTCAGTGCCCCGCGGACAGGGGCCGTCCTGCGAACTGCAGCCACAGGCCGCTCCCTGCGGCCCTGCGGGGCGCCCTGGCGGCTGCCCACCGCTGCCTCTGGGACACAGGTGGACACGCAGGGCCTTCCGTCCAGTTACCACAGAACTGAAAGGACCAGGAGAGCGGGCAGGGCACGAGCGCCACGTCTCCCTGAGGACAGGTGCCTCCCTGCAGCGACGTCCCTGTCCACTTAGTCAGCAAAGAGGCACCGGCGCCTGCTGGTCAGACAGTAAACTGTGCTTGGGTCTCACACGCATTCGTGTCTCGGTCACTTTGTTTAAACTAGAGCCTTCTAGAAAACTGGGGCCAACTAGGCCTTGCAGCTCTCTGAACACCAGGCCTGCGCTCGCCCTGAAGACGGCCTGACGTGGCACTGTCACTTCATGCTGCTCCAAGAAGTTTTTCACAAACTTCTCTAATGTCTTTCTACGAGAAGTAACGACAATGACAAGTAAACGGAAACTAAAATACCTGTTCGAAAATCACATCAGAGCAGAATAAGCACAGCCCTGTGTGACGGCCAGGCCGTCACTGGCGTGAAACTGCGGCGACGAACGGCCAGTGGGCCCGGCCGAGGCTCACAGCGCAGCCTCGCGCCGCCTTTGCGTCATTTAACCGAACGGCAGCGGCGGCCCAGGCCGACATGCCGCCTCCGCCGGGTGGGGTGGGGGGCGGTGGCCCAGCGCTTTGGCGCCCTCCCACCCGCGGTCGCTGTGGGAGGCAGCTGACTCATAAATAATCCGAACCACACGGGGTCCCATGAAGCTTTTTAAAAAGTAAAAGGAAAAATGAAGGGAGACCGGGGCTGGGGACGATGAGTGGCCCCACGGGCGACAGCCCCACCCGGGGACCCCCAGTTAGGTGACACCCCCCGCAACCTTCTGGGACCAGCAAGGGAGTCCAAACACCCAGCAACCCGGTGTTCACGCAGAGAACGGGGGTCTTTCTGTTTCAACTAATAAAATGAATGTTGTGTGTGTAAATAAAATGAGCACGCAGCAGGCTCTGAACCGTGACTGAGGTATATGACGTAAAATAAAGGGGATTTTCGCGCCCTGCACCAGTAACATGTGCTTCAATCCACACCGTCAAAGCCTGGGAAATACAACCACTGCTGTGTCCAAGTCCCCTGAAAAATATGGAACAGCCGTACCAAACAGCAGGCTGAAACCGCAAAGCAGAAGAGCGAACCGCAGGGAAGCTCTTTCACGGGGGAGACAGACGGACAGACACAGTGCTGGCACCACGGGGGTCAAGAGCCACAGAAAGGCAAACCGCTGTCTGCGTGAACGTGTGAGGCTTTAAAAGCCTTCCCAGCCTTGGCACATCGCTCAGGCGACAGTCTCCTGGGGACTGTCCGGGCACGCGGTGCGCGCCGCCTCCCGCCCGAGCCCCGGGCCCCACGAACCGCGCCGCCCGGCCCCTCCGTAAGCTCATTAACGAGCGCCGATCCGTCCAGCTGTGTCTTCAGCTTTCATTTTAAGAATAAGCCAGATCATTACATGTTTCCATCTTTCCTAATGGTAATTTGTTTCTTCACAACTGAAACTCCTCAAAAATACATAGCTGCATTTTATCTAAAGTTGTATCTATTTAAAAACTTTATGTTCCTAACATATAATTCACTTCTTTGAGCAAAAATAAACTTCCAAAGAAACATAAGAAATAGAAGTCTGCCCTCAGCGACGCCCAGAGCACACGCAGGGAGGCCGCCTGGCTTCTGACCCGCCCGAGCCGGCCGTGCAGGACTGTGCTTTCAACACAAAGGAAGTGGGACAGGATTTAAGTGGCGGCTTAAATGGCAAACGGTAATTACGTTCTCTGGTTTTTCCTGTTCCATAAAAACACCCAATCCAATTTATACTTCAGTGGCTTTTTCATCTTATGGTCTCGTATCACTCTAGGTAAATACTCAGGTTAATTCTCTCCCTGCTGCAGCAGCGGTATTGCCACAGGCCAACCACACAGCAATGAAGCCGGTGGCGGCACCACGGACGGTGACTCCTGTTCAAATCACTCGGCGCGGTCTGCCTCCAACGTCCCGTTACGTGGCATTAACAATGGTGATTTGGATTTTGATGAATTTGGATTTTCATCTTCATCCTCCTATTTCACTGATTAGTTTCCGTTTGGGTTCGTGTGTGCACATCTGTCTGCGGGCAAGTGTGCATGTGTGTGCATGTCCATGCATGTATGTCTGCGAGCGAGTGTGCGTGGAGGGGGTGCGCGCGTGCACGTGTGTGCATGCGCGTGCATCTGTGGGCATGGGCACATGTGCATGTGTGTGCGTGTGTCTGCGGGCGAACTGTGTCAAGCGAGCCCTCCAGCCCCTCCGCTCCCCAAGAGGCCCTGTGCCCAGGACCCCCCGCCCTCGCACAGGCAGTGCTGGGAGCCAGACCCAGAGCCCCCCGCAGGGTCGCACCGCCTCCAACACAGCCTTTGACGCTCCCGCCCACTTACTGGCATACGGGCATTTGCAGACGCCTGGGCTCGGAGAGGAATGGGAAGGTTTTAACCTAACTGAAACCGTGCACCTATATAGCCAAAGAGGCGCGCTGGCCCGACCTCATCAACGCAGGAGGAAGTCACAGGAGGCCGAGGTGGGCTCGACGCTGAGGGCGGGCTCTTCCTACCTGAGTGAATCCCAGTTTGATTCGTCTTTGTTTGAAGGTCTTGGCAAACTGCTCCAGCTCCTCCAGGTCACTGGGCTCCTCCAAGCTGGGAGTATCGATGCGCTTTGGTGTCGCCTGGCTCTGTGGAAGTGTCTGAATCGGGGTTGCGGCTATTGTGCGTGTCGGGGTTGCTGGCTGTTGGAGAAGGGGCGGGAGGGTAAGAGCAGACGTACGGTGTTTAGGTCGCAGCTGCAATGGGCAGCAGGTTAACAACCTAAGGCAACAGCTCTAGCGGGGGAGGACTCTGAAGGGCCCGTAACAGGTGGAGGCACAATGTCATGCTGGCCGAGAGAAGCAGAGGGTGAAACTACGTCCGCCATAATCACAGGGAAGGTTAAAATGCAAGCATGTGTCAGGAATTTGACTACCTAAAACTAAAACCCAGTATATTCAGGTTTTCAGATGGTCTGAATATGCACATTTTATACCATTTAATAGATTCATCTTCATTTTTAAGAAACTATTTCATAACCATACAGCTTAAACTTCAAGTTTCAAAACAGCAGGGACCATGTCTTCCTTGTTCATTGCTGTCGTATCTTCAACTTGGGACATGAGATTATAAGATTACGAAAATGACTCTAAGGGGAAAAGTAAATCACTTACAGTTTAAATAATGTAGTAGTTTGATTTTTGTGGGGTTTTTTTTTTGAGTTTTCTGCCACAGATTTACATTTTTCCTTTGTTTTTTAGTTTGTTGCACCACGTTTACATCATTGGTAAACGATCGCTGCAAAGTGGAACACTTTTCAAATCTTCAGTGACAAGGCAGGTGACGCACCGACCAGGGAAACTTCATGCGGTTAAGACACTGGAAGGGTCCGTCAGGCACAGTCAAAGCGGCGCAGTGCGGCTCTCGCCAAGGTGCGGCTGCCACGCCCGTCGGCCACACCCCCCGCTCGCCAGCACCTCCAGGCCCCTCCTCTGTTTCCACATTCTTTGCTGAGCTTACTGGGGTGACACTGGCTAATTAAGTGATACAGGTTTCGAGTGTACAATTCCGCAGACCTCCACGGTCACTCTCAACCATAACTGGCGCACACATAATCCTGCACTCGGCGTCCCTGCTTCACGCAGTGCTTTTACTCCCACCCCGCCGGGCCCGCCCTGCGGACCGTCGTCTTCGAGGGCTGGCCGAGGCAGCGCTGTCACGGCTCCTTTAACAACGTCCCGTCGGCAGGCGCTCAGTCCTCAGGGACACTGGCAGCGCCCCTGCGGCTGGCTCTTTGTCCGCCTCCGGAACTGGAGCTCTGAGATGGCGTCACAGCGCCTCCCTGCAGCCGCTGTGGGCGGGGCAGGCAGGCTCGGCCTCCCGACCCACAGCGCCAGGCAGGCCCTCGTGCGCGGCCCTCGCGCGCGGCCCTCGCCCTGGCGTCCCCAGCACCCGCTCGTTCAGGGAGCAGAGGGCGCTTCACCGGGGCCCTCGCCCCAGCTCCCTTGTCGCATAGTCAGAATCTCCCCGCGTGGGTGTTCATCTGTATCCCCTGTGATGCGAATTAGTTTTACATCTGAACCCGTCTATAAATTAACGATATTCTCATTCTCCTCCTTAAACAGCTCATCAAATGTTATCGATTAATTCTGTGTTGTATTAAGGCAAATTTCTCTAATCTGATTTTTCCTTTCATTTTTCAACGTATGTAAGTTTTAAATGATCAAAAAAAGGTAAACTTTTTCCTTTCTAATATCTGTTGCTTCAAATCTGGAAAAACTGTCACTTATTTCTAACTTGGATAAAATTTCTTTTAATATATCTTCTTCTATGCATTGTAAAATATTTAACTGTTGAAATCCATAGCTTATTTGGAAACGTGAAATGTCCTTATTACGCAAACACAAGCCCCGAGCAGCCGCCCTGCCGAGCATCCCGGGGGACAGCACTGTGGCGGCTCGGCAACCTTCCCGGGGCACAGGTGCCAGGCGGGCGAGCGACCGCAGGCTGGGGCCGCACGCGGGGGTGGGACGCGCGCTCCCTCCTGCAGACTAAGCGAGCCCACGCCCCCCGACTCGGCCCCCAGGAGGAGTGCGCCCCCTCCAGCTGAACTCGCGGCCCAGAAAGCCAGGCCACGGATTCCGCAGTCCTGCAGGCTCCGCCCTACCGCCCTGCCTGGGGGAAGCCAACCACGCTCCTCCCGGACACGACACCGTGACGCGGGCCGTCTTTAACCCCTGTGTGGAGCCCAAGTGGGGCCCGCCACATCAGGCACCCCTGTGGCTGTGCGCTGCCTGGCTCGGCTGTCAGACTGCCACTTTGCTTCCAGGCTTCAGGTAGCCTGTTATCAAATAATAAAGGGCTAGAAATTGCTCGGGTCCTTTTTAGGGGCGGTGGTGACAGACACTGCAGCCCAGCTCCGGGAGCCCGAGGCCGGCCTGGCCCAGACCCGCAGGCGGCAGAGCGGAGCTCAGCGCGCAGGGCCCAGTGCACCCCAACCGCCACCCCGCGCAGAGCAACAGGCTGGGAGGAGGCACTTGTGTAGGCTCGTCTCAAAACTCCAGCCTTATATTTATACTCAGGACATTCACGATGACAGTGTCATTTAAAAGTGCGCACCTTGAAGTGTTTTGACGACCGCATTAACTGCTACCACAACTGAGACTCAGGAGCCTTCCGTCCGCCCCGACCCGAGCCCCAGCCCCTGGCAACCCTGGTAGGATCTGTCCTATAAACGGAACCATACAGCAGGCAGTCTTTTATGTTTGGCTTCCTTCTCTCACACAATGCCTCTGAAATTCATCCATGGCGTTGACTGCAACAAAGCACATTTCCTGCTACTGCTGTGTATCACATGGATATGCCAAATGCTATGTTATCTATTCACCCAGCTGACGGGCATTTCGGTGGTTCCCAGTTTGGAGTGATCATGAATAGAACTGCTACAAACATTCATATGCAGCATTTGGTGGACACAAATGACTTCATTTCCAGGAGCAAAACTGCTGGGTCAGAAGGTACAAGGATATTTAACTTGGTAAGAAACTGCCAAGCTGCCCCGGCTGGTGTGGCTCCGTGGACCGAGCGCTGGCCTGAGAACCAAGGGGTCGCCACTTCGATTCCCCGTCAGGGCACAGGCCTGGGCTGTGGACCAGGTCTCCAATAAGGGGGCGTGCAAGAGGCAGCCACACACTGATGCTTCTCTCCTTCTCTTTCTCCCTCCCTTCCCCGTGCTATAAATAAATAAATAAATCTTCAAAAGAAAGTAATTGCCAAGCCGTGTCCCAAAGCGCCCGTATCACCGTGCAGCCACCGGCTGCTGGGACGTTCTGGCTGCTGCTCCTTCGAGCCGCCGCTGCCACGGCCCCAGCCTCCTCCGCTCCGCCGGCTCTGACGGGCGAGCCGTGACGCTCGCCCCTCCCTGATGGCCAGTGACGGGGGCACCTTCTCAAAGGCTCGCCTGGCACTCACACACGTTCTTTGGTGAAGGGATCTTCAAGTATTTTGTACACCCTTCCTTTTTAAAAATTCGGGTTATCGTATTACCGAGCTGTATGAGTTCTTATATACCCAGGAAACGAGTCTTTTACCAGATATGCTTTAAGAATATACTCTTCCAGCCTGTAGCTTTTTTTTTTTTTAACAAAAGCTTTTCCTTTTTTAAAAATTTATCAATTTTTTTCTTTGATGGTTAGTGCTTTTTGAGCCCCGTTTAAGAAATTATCACTTTGCCAAAGGACACGAAGACTTTCCCTAAGTTTGCTTTTAGAAGTTTATGTCTTCAACCCCCTTCAAATTAACCTTCGTGCACTGTGAGGAAGAGGGTAAGGGCCTGTCCGTACCCGCGGCCGGCCGACGTCTCGGCACCACCCGCTCAGACGACCCCCTTTCCCAAGGGGACCGTGGCGGCAGTGTGGACAGTCGGTCGGCCAGACGCTGGGCCCACCAGACCTCGCTCCGCTCCACTCCGCCTCTGCCTGCGCGCCAGCATCACAGTCTTTGTCGCTGCCGTTTACAACAAACAATTCTTGACATCAGGTGGTCCTTCCGCTTTCTTCTCAAAAACACCTGGCTACTCTATGCCCGCCACGATTCCACGCAAATGTCAGAGAGGGCGTGTCAATTTCTAACAGAAAAGTCAGCTGGGTGCTGATGGAATTGTGTGGGATCTGTCGATTCACTTTGGAGAGAACTCGTATTTTAACCACCCAAGTCTTCTGATTCATAAACACGGTAGGTCTTCTCCATTAATTTGGGTCTCCTTTAATTTCATTCAGCAATATTTTGTAGTTTCCAATGTAAAGGTCTTACAAATGTTTGTTAAATTTATCCGTAGGTACTATAAATTTTTTTTAATTTCAATTTCCAAATGATCTTGAGAGCACACTCATTTCTTGCGCATCAACTCTGTACCCCACATACTCACTAAAGCCACATCAACCCCAGCGGCCTTTGTGCCTGCCCTAGGGTTTTCTACATAGGCGATCACGCACTCTATCAACCAAGAGTTTTACTTCTCCTTTCTAACCTGCGTCCTTCATTTTTTTTTTCTTGTCTTATTTACACTGCTAGGACCTTCAGTACAAGGGTGAGTAGGAAGTATTCACTCTTTATGATGCTGGGTTTTAGTAGGTGCCTTTACCAGGTTAAGAGAGTTACCCTCTGTTCCTAGTTGGCAAGCGCTCTTATGCTAAACAGATGTGGAGTTTTGTGCAACCTGGTAATGTGTTAATAAGAAGAGGACACTTCCAAGACTACAGACAGGGTCAGCCTGGAGGGCCTCCAGGGCCACCTGCTCAGAACGTCACCTAGGGGACAGGTGCAGAAGTGCAGACCCAGAAGGGAAACGAGCTCAGCCGCAGAGCCGGACAAGGAGCACGCCTGGTCTAGCGTTCCACCTCGCGGGGCCTACACTGGTGCTTTTCCGTGGCTGCACTCAGGTAGAAATGAGCGAAAGCAACATCAGAACATCGAGAGGAAAGAAAACATAGAAGCCAGAGCTTCTCTGCAGATTCTGTGAAAGGGCCGAGGGTGGCGCTGGCTCTCCGGGAGGCACCAGGCGTCCGGGTCAAGGGGCGACCTCTCGGGCAGCGTGGTGGAGGTCAAACTGCCAGAACCGAGCCCTCACTCACCACCAGTACTGGTGCTCTTCATGAACATGTAAGAAAATAGGGACTCCCTGAAGGTTTTCAGAGACTGCATCAATTTGGTAGCATTGCTTTATCAAGCTGATAAGCCCAGCTTTGAGCTTTTGGTCCGATTTTGAATACCAGGGTTCTTTTAATTAGGATGTTGTGTGATGTGTGTGGTGTGTGTGTGTTTTAATTCAGCAGAGCCCAAAAGCCCCTTCAAAGCACAGGGACGAGAGAGTGGCACCGCGGGAGAAGCCGACCTGGGAGGTGAGGGCGACGCTGGGCTGCGCCTGCAGGAGGTTGGCTTGGCTTTGCTGAGGTAGTTGCGTTAGAAGATTCTGCGCTTGCAGGAGACCTGTTAAAACACAACACGCTACGCTAGAAACATCAAGGACTACTTTGAACATATGGATAAAAAAAAAAAAAGACAGTGAAGTGGAAATTTCCAACTGACCTGATAGTCTTATTGGTCTTAAAACTCTTACTGTCTTATTTGTCTGAAGTTCAATCTCATTACCACAACTTAGGCACGAAGACGCAACATGTTAGGCTGGGAATGATGCGTCTTCAGCGTGGCCTAAAGAACCCCGACCAGCCGCCCCTCTACGTCCGGGCGGGACGGGCGACAGCAGAGAAGCCGCTGGGCATTCCCGAGAGCTCTGTCTCGCACACGGAGCCCTGCGCACAGGGCCAGCGGACCGTCTGGTTCACGAGGGGAGCGCACTCCCCTTAAGTGAACAGGCAGATAGTCCTACAACAAAAGACCCTGGAGGGAACGGCCAAGAAAAAAGGCTACAAAACGATGGCGAGGAATTGGAGGGAAGCACTCGTGTCCCCACGGCCGAAGCCTGGCTGCCCTGACGCCCTCGCTGCCGCCATTAACCAGCTTCGCAGACGTGAGGCAACTGTGCTGTTGACACAATATTCCCCACAAAAGGTCGCAAAGATGGCTCTTACAATTCACAAAATGTGCACAGCTTCTCATATAATACCTCCCCCTTCTCAAACCTCAAAAGAAACCAAGTGATTGTCAGAGGCATGTACATTCAACGCTCAGCCCATGCGCGGTGACCACACTCCCACAAGAAACTATCAGAACACCAGGAGCCACTGGTTCAATCTGTGCACAGCAGGTCAAGCGATGCCACCTGGACTGCTGGCCGAGCTCCCGGCCTCTCCTTGCGGATTAAAGAGGTGGACGCTGCAAAGAACAGCCTTCAGTATTGTGGTGCGCATGACTGAATATGCTCTTAACATGAACACCGCGTTTAAAGGTCAACGCAGTTGAACGACAACACTGCCCTAACGGACGGTCTCTGGGCCAGAGGGACGCTCACCCTGCTGGCCCGGGGGCGTCTGGGAGATGATGAACTGTGCAGGCTGCAGGTTGGTGGTCGGGTGCACCAGCACGAACTGCTGCAGGTTGAGGTTCTGCTGCTGGAGCTGCTGCAGCTGCTGCAGGTCCTGCAACGACAGAATGAACATGTGGGCTCGAGGCTCTGCGAGAAGAGCGCGCCTGCCCGCAAGGTCCCTCGCAGGTGCAGCATCGGGCGGGCCCCCAGGGCGGGCCCAGACCCCGGCGCCCGTCCAGGGACTGTGTCTATTCGTGTGTGCTGTGTCATGACTTACGCTGAGCCTGATTTTCAACGGTTGCTTAAAATGCCTGCAGAATGTGTGGTCAGAGCTGTGTGTTTAAACATCTAGAGACCAATGTGGGTTTTAAAAATCGAGTGAGAAAAGAGTGTTGAGTTTTTAAATAGTTGACTGATTTTCCTCTTAAGTAAAATCTGAGAGTGCTATCTGAATTTGCATAATTTAAAAATCTATAATGATTTATGACATTTGGCATGAGCCTACTGAACTGAACTGAGAAATCACTGTAAAAAAATTTTAAGTTATCCATATAAAAATCTGATCCATAACCTATCAATATCACCTTACATTGGCCGAGGATTGAAAATTTTCAGTGTGCTTCCACTGATTAAAATAATGTCAACGCAGGGTCTCATAGCACGGGCACTAACAACAGTTACTTGGTCATGAAGAGAGAGGCCAAAGTGCAAACGTTGTCTTGATAAAGACTAACAGTCATCAAGACTTGTCTGACATCTATTCCTCACGCTCACAGTTAGTTGTTTCGTTCCAACGTCTACTCACGCTAGACATTACCCCTGGGGTCCATTTCTGAGGCCTTTCAGGGGGTGAACACAACCATCAGGCACTAGACTCGTGACAATGCCTCACGGGTGTTACTAATGTGGCTGCTTATTCTCTCTTCCTGTCCCTGAGGTGAAGGGCCACGTTCACCTTTCCCCCTTGCGTGTACTGTCTCTGTCTCCTAAATACAACTGTATTGTCTCTAGCTACTCTGCCCTAAAATGTAAAAAATGAAGCCAAACAATGCCCTGTCGCAGTTCTGCACCGAGCTCATGGCTCTGCCACAGGAATGACTCGCCGGCTCTCACGCGGCAGCCGCGTTCCCCACGAGGCACGCGAGAGCACCCAGGGCTGCCATGAGGAGCTGATTAAAACCACGACAGTAACCCCCTGCTTCAGAAATACGCCAGCTAATTATTCAAGAATCGTCACTTAACATAAACAGTCAGTAGTTCAAATAATCACTTACATATTTATAATATCACAACTCAAATAAGCAAACAAACGTCTCCTTTCTGGTTCAGCAGCCCTGGCACCACCCACCCCACTGACCTGGAATCCCCGGGCCTCTGTGGGCCCAACCAGCTCTGGGAGGGTGGGCTTGCTCTGGCTGCTGGAGAAAAGCCGCCCCCCGCCCCCCCGCCCCGCCCCCACGCGCGAGCCAGCTCACCTGTGCGATCTGTATGGGCTGGGACAGGGGGATCTGCGTCATGGGCGTGGCAGCGGAGGCGGAGATGGTGGCCCCGGCGGCGCCGTGCTGCTGGCTGGCGGAGTGCTGCTGCACGGCGGCGGCCAGCAGCTGCGCCTGGGCCTGCGCCTGCTGCAGCAGCAGCTGTTGCTGGGCCGGCGTCAGAGCGAGCTGCACGGAATCAGGGCACGCAGTTGGAGAGGGCCCGGGAGAGGGCCTCTGGGCAAGCCGACGGCTCTCAAGGGGGACACGCAGGCGCTGGGGCCCGGGCCGCCAGCCGCACACGGTGCGCCCACGGCTGCAACGGCCAGCAGGGGTCAGGCTATCATCATGAGCAGGGCGCTCAAATGAAAATGTTGGACCTCGCTTTGGACTTAACCGCCCAAGCTTGTCCAGGGCCCTAGGGTTCAGGCAAAAAGGTAATTAACTAGTAAGGAAGAACAACAACAAAAGAATCCTTGCTGACAGGATAGGAAAAGAAATTTACACCCAACAGAATAGCAGGTGATCAGTCAGAGGGATGAGGACCGAGGACGCCGGGCCGACCGTGGAAGGGGCGGACAAGGCCCGGCTGCTCCCTGCTGGCAGGACCCGCGCCCCACCCCATCGTCCCCACTCCATCTGCAGAGAGGACCACAGGCCACACGCTCCGTGTGCTCCTTTCCCGCGGCTCCCTGCAGCCCCTCCCCCGCAGTCTTTTCAGCCACTGAAAGCAGCAGGTCTCTGCAACTTCACACTCCTTTCTGACATGTTATCTCTGTGAAACGGGTGGCAACAGCCACTCTCTCCATATGCAAATGAGTCCTCCTAATGCCCAGGTTTGACGGAGGTTCCAGCCACGTAAACCTGGAATCCCAAGTGCCTCTTATATTATAGACACCCGTCACCCAAAGCCAAACTGCAGCAGTGACACAGGAAATGCACTCAGAGCAGATTAAACGTGCTTTCCTGGTGCACCTGCCCTCCAGCGCACTCCGTCCTGGTGACAGGCTCTGCTGAAGGAGGGGGTGCGGCCGCAGGGTTGCAGGCTGAGGAGGAGCGGGCACCAGGCTCCCCTGAGGGCACAGCCTCCTCCTACAGGGCCCAGCGCCGCCGGCGCCTGCAGGGCAGGGTCCGAGGCAGACTATTCCAAACTCCGCACCCTTCAAGGGACGCTTACAGAGGTTTCACACAATACATAAACATCTCCTGATCTCTACTAATGGGGTTCTGCAAACAATTTTGGAATAATTCTTAAAAGAGCCTTCCACTGCCAAATGAAAATGAAGGCTATAAAAAAAATTTGTGGGTTGATGTCAAACTGAATAATAACTAACTCTACCCTACCACTCCCCAAACCCCTCGCCAAGACAATTAATAAGGAAATTCTCAGCACTGGAAAACATTTTAAACGGTGTCTTAGAGCAGAGACAGCCAAGAAGGTCTACGCTCAAGATATTTACGCAGGCTGATTTATCACCAGTGAAAAGATAGGACAGTTACTGAATGCTATGTGCCAGGGCCGCTCCGTGAGTTTTACACACATTATCTCCCTCACGCTTTGTGGCTGTTCTGTGGCCTGGGTACTATTAACGCCCCCACTGAGCTGAAGGCCCACCGAGGCGCGGGGGACGGTGTGATCGGCCGAGGCAGTGGACTGCGGAGCCAGGATCGGAGAGGAGAGGATTCACTCTAGAACACCACACAGTCATTCACAACATTTTCCTTTTGCAGGCACTAAGCCAGCCTTAAACTTCTGCTCCTCAGTGATGTCATAACTCAAACTGACAGCTGCAATCTCATCCATGCAAGAGTCTCGACCACAGGCAGCGACCTCCCCCCATGACAAAACCACAGCTGAAACATGGGCTTGAAAAAGCCCTTCTTTCCCCCAGAGCATCTGCAATTGTTAGAAAAGACACCCTGCAAACTAAAGAAAATTCCCTTTTCAGAGCGGCCTCCGGTGCGGAAAGTTCCTGAAAGCCACGCCAGTGCCAGTGCCAGGCCCAGCCACGTGCCCGCCGGCCGCCGCGGAGCTGCTGCCCGGCCCCCGCCAGGGGCCACCCGACCCTGAGGGCCAGCGGCGCGCGCAGGGACACTCACCCCGGTGATCTGCCCTCCGGCCAGCATGAGCTGGGTCTGCGGCAGGGCCGCCGGCACGGACGGCTGCGGCTGCGGCGAGGGCTGGCTGGGCTGCTGTGCGTCCCCGGGCTCCTCATTAGATTTTGACTGAAGGGGGAGAGCAGAGAGATTCCAGGTCGCTCGTTAAAGGAAGCGAACTCAGCTCCATGTTTCAAGAGTTATTTCATACGCGGACTTATTCAGTCATGAGTTTTCTGCTTTCGCTCTTCTCCTTTCTTACAACTCCTCCTATTTTCCTAATTTTACATATTAAGTTTTCAGACTTTTTTGTTCCACTGCCAGCAAAACTGCAATTATAATTTTTAAGGAGAAAAAAATAATATGGTCCCTCACAAAGCAACGGAACTCGCCCCAACCCCCCACCCTGGAAAGGAGGGTGCGGGACCGCGTCTCCCGCCCGCTCTGCGCTGGCCCTGTGGCCTGCTGTGTGGGCCTGCATGGGGTGGTCCGCCTGGATTGAGCTGCCGCCTCCCCGCGGGGTCCCTGGGCCCACGGGGCTCCTCCTCTGCTCTTTCAAGGGCGGTAAGCCCGGCGCCGCTGCCAGGTCGCGTGCAGGGCGAGAGGGCGATGCTGGGGCAGGCGGCGAGGGCTCACTCCAGAAAGGCCACCCAGAGAAAGTTCCCAGGTAATTAACCCTGGTTATGAGGAGCATTGAAATTCTGCATAGATCTGCATATTTCCCACCACCTGTTTTGGGGACTGCGGCAAGGCTAATTAACATAGAGGCTCTGATTAATTCTGCCAGTCAGTGAGAGATAATTACAGCACAGGACTGTAAACACTCGGCACTGGAGGTACAGCCTGTTTGCCAACATCTCTCTGTGGGATGAAAGTTTACCATGGCAACCAGGGCAATTTTCCGCCTCCTCTCCCTCAGAAAGGAAGGTCACATTATCTCCTTTTCTTTTCCCTCCTTGTTTCCATGTGTTACTAGGTCCATATTCCACTGGGTTTCACGGAATGCTCAACCCAAGGTCTTTAGTCATTAGCAACACTGAAATCAATGTTCCAGAATACTGTGTTTCCCTCTTGACTGCTAGTTACCTAAACACTCAAATGAAAGGAAGCAGCAGGTCAGCTGAGATACTAAGGAGCCCATGTCTAACCCCCGAACTTGGCATGTGTGGCCAGATGGTTCACGGAAGCCATGTAGCTGGATCTGCTTTGTTTTAAACTTGTGACTGAAGCCTATCAGCACCTACAAACAGTTTCTTTCCAGTCCTGAGAATCGTAACATTGTAGAGCAGAGAGGAGCCCTCACGAGCCTCTGAGCTCTCCCACTTAAACGCAGGGAAGAGTACCAGAGCCCCGGGAGGGTGGGTGGCGAGCAGAGGGCGCACAGCCAGCGAGCCGGCGCGGAGGTGAGCGCCAACCCAGGGCCCGCCCCCCAGCCCGGGGCTGCTCCCTGCACCGCTGGGCTCCCCTAAGACATGAGGATGATGACGAAAGACACGTGGAGACGGAGGGCATTTATGACATTATCTGGCTTTGTATTTAGGGATGTGCTACAGCTGTGCGACTTAGAAATACCTGTCCTGGACTTACGTGTAAAACTTTGAAAGTGGACTTTCCTTGGTCACCTTCAGTCATTCACAGAATTATAATGTAAAATTCATCCTCATTAATGGCAACGATTATCATTATTTGGATCTTCATGGGAATCAGTAATAAAAAAAGGTAATGCTCCCCAGGACTCCCTGCTGTGAAACGACTGCGTGCTCATGGTGTGAGATGGGAAAAGCGTGGGGAGGGGAGAGCCCGCGCCCCCGCCCCCGCCCCCACCGCCCCACTCACCTGCGCGTTTAAAGACTGAGCTGCGGCCTGCAAACCCGTCCCGGCGAGCTGCACCTGCAAGCGAGCACGGGGCCGTTAGCGTCTGACATGTGGCGCCACCACGCGCGTCATCGTCAACAGAACTGCAAGGCCTTGGAGAATGTGCCGCTGAGCGTCTGGGGTTACGTTCCAGGGTTAACACTGTGCAGACCAGCTCGCCGCACCTCCACCGCCCACAGGGAAACGCTGCTCCCGTTGCTCTTTTACATTTATGTTATTTTAAATATTTTATTTATGTCTTTTTAGAGAGGAGAAGGGAGGGGAAACAGAGGGAGAGAAACATCCATGTGTGGTTGCCTCTCACGCGCCCCCCGCTGGGGACCTGGCCCACAACCCAGGCCTGTGCCCTACACTAGGAATCGAACCAGCAACCCTTTGGTTCACAGGCTGGCGCTCAAACCACTGAGCCATGCCAGCCGGGGCTCCCACTGCTTTTTTGAAGGATGTTCCCCACAACTGAGTTAGCAGCATCGGGATGTGGCACTTGTATCAGACATTCCTTATATCACCATTCTGCTTGTATTCAGAGATACTTAGATACTAGAAACTTAATTCATATCCCATGTTGTGTTAAAAAACACCTAAGAACAAGCTACTTACGTACATTATTTTTATCATTATGAACTGTCAGAATATCTGCTCATTCTAATTTCAAAATCTCCATGCACACGACGCCTGAGGAGACGTCTTACATATATACACACTTCACAGTCAAGTCCTTAAGGCACCTGTAGTCATAGAACTCAAAACTGCTGGCTGAAATGAAGACGCTGTCCTATAAAGCACACACATGAAAGTCTGTCATAGTATTTAAATCGGACATCTCACTACTCAGAAAGTTCAAACCACCGTCACATCAGCCCAAGGGCCGCCCGTGGGCATCGTGATAGCAGGCACCAACCCCGGACGCCCCGTCGCCAGCGGGCGTGACGTGGGCAGTGACACGGTCGCCACGCACTCCAGCGACCTCTCCAGAGAGACCTGTCCGTCACAGGGGGAAACAGCGGCTACCCTCCGAGGCGCCCAGCAGACAGGCGGCCACACTCGTGTCTCTGCTGCGGGGCACTCGGAGAGCGCGACACCGCCCCTGTGGCCTCCCTCGCCCGCGTCTCGCCGTGGCGAAGCGCCGGGCAAGCTCGGATCGCGCAGCACCTCACAGCACAGCTGGTCTGCGCCCTTCACGCGCCTGTGCCCCGAAAGCAGCGACAGGCAGCGTCGGGCCAACAGCGACGCAGTCCTGGGCGAGGGGACAGTGGCGGCCTGAGCCGGGGCGGCGGCCGGGGCGGGGGTGGCACGCACGTCCACCGCGCACCCCGAGCGCTGACGGGACACAGGCGGAAGGAGAGAGCCATGAGCTGTTCCCAGGCCAACTCCGGCGACAGGAATCCGGAGTCCTCAGCAGGAGGGCAGGCGCCCGCTTCCGATCTATCACAGAGCGTCAGCGCTTCCTGTGGTGGCACTCGGGGTGGGTGTGGAGCTCAGTGCAGAGTGCAGAGCTAAAACTTTAAGGAATTGCTATGTCCTTCATTTAAAACTGATTGTCCCCAAAACACACTCATAGACAGGAGCACAGGCTGGCGGTGAGCCGAGGGCAGGGGCCAATGGCGGTGAAAGCCGGTGCCCAGACCTGCGCGGGTGACCACCGGCATACGGGGGTGCCCAACGTGGTGCGCCCCAAAATTATGTATTATACCAATTTCACCTCAGTTAAAAAAAGTGCCCTGACAGTCCCGTTAGTAGATAAGAATTCTCAAAAAATAAAACCCCAAAGAAAAAATCCAGAGATTTGTAAAGAGCACGTTTCAGACACAGCACAAGCGGGGAGGACGGCCTGAACGGCAGCATATTTGAGACCCAACGTCCGGCAGCCTGGGGCCGGGCCGGGCTTCCGGCACAGAGACCAGGCGCTGAGGCCTCTGGCTCTTTCTGACTCACGGCGCAGGCCGCCTTGCATTCGGCTGCCATGTCTGTTTAATGGTCCTTATTCCAGAACAGTCCCTCAGCCTGTCTTTGTCTTTCACGACACAGACATTTCTGAGACGCAGAGACCGGCTGTTTTACAGAAGGCCCCTTGATTTGAGTTTCTTTGATTTTGTCCTCATGACTGAATTCGAGTTCTGTGTTTTTGTCAGGAATTCAACAATAGGCACATGACCTCCGCTTGTCAGATTACTGTGTGGTACCCTTGATCGCTCGATTGAGGCAGGTTTCTGATCTGTCCACTGCAAAGGCAGCTGCTTGTTGTGATTAGGGAGCAATCTGTGAGGAGATACTTTAAGACCTGTAAACATCCTGTTCCTCAACAAACTTTCACCCAGAAACGACGTGGTTTAAATCACCTAGAAACAATCAAGCAAAGGCTCTGACTGCTATGCCCCGATCCACGCGGTGCGAACGAGTTCAGGGCAGGGGGCTGAGCCCCGGGGTCTCGGGCACTGGAGGCCACACTGGAGGGGGGAGAGCAACTCATTACCTTCAGGGGCCACAGACACGCGCGCAGAAACCGCAACCCCGCTAGTAGGCGCAATCCACTCAAAACCAGAAACCATTTATTCCCACACAGCTGCAGAGCGACAGCTGCACAGCCCGCTGAGCGACTGGCCTGCGCACGTGCCCCTCAGAGCGGCAGGCTGAGATGCGAGGGGCACCCGCCTCCCAGCCCCGTGAGGGGAGTGCCGCCAGGCCCAGCGCTCCGCCGCCCTCCTCCACGCCTGCTCGTGCCGCGCAGACACCCTACCTGGTGGAGATGCCCGAAGAAAGCCTGGGCCTGGGCGGTGGAGATCGCGCCTCCGACGGGCACCGGCTGCTTCTGAAAGTCCAGACCATTCGTTTGAGTGCCTGGAAGGCAAGCAAAGGAACGTGCCAACATTTATCAGGCATGTATTCTGTATGAGCCATTTTCTAAGTAGCCCTGAGGAGGACGGAGATGCAAAAGGAAGAGGAAGTGCAGGGAGTGACTTCTCTTCTGGGCTGCAGACAAGCCACAGGGGCACGGGGAGAGCCTAGGAAAGGAACGAAATGCGAGTACCGGAGCACAGCCTCAGACAGTGCCGGGGGCTCGGAGGGGACGCGGCGCCTGGAAAGCGGGGCAAGCACGGCGCAGGGGGGGCGGTCGGGGGCGAGCGCTGGCGCCCTGCCGCGGGGAGCAGGGGAGACGGGGCCCCCAGCGGGCACTGGCTCTCCCGGGCCTCACCCCTCCTCCCGGGGTCTGGACGGAAGGGACTCGGGGGGACTCTGACAAGAGCAAGAAAGACTTCCTCCTAAGTGCCCTAGTGAGTGACAACCCGAGGCAAAAGCAACCACTTACACGATTCTCACAAGAGTTTTCCTAATTCCTTCAATCCCAAAGCAGAGATCGATTCCTAGAACTAGTCGGCAAGGGCTCTGCAGCTGGTGGGGAGACGCACCGCCCGGAACACTAAGGTGTGTGACACATTGTTTTCAAGTTACCATATCCAGCCAGTAACGAGAAGTAACCAGATACTTTCCACCGAGTAGAACGTAACAAGCCACAGGAGCCCGCGGGAATCCGCGACACGCGCGACCAGGGCGCCGCCCTTCCTCCCCCCAGCACCGGGACACCCCCCTTCTCGTCCTCGCCTCTGCGTGCGCACGCACTGCACAGCAACCGGGAGGGTGCAAGCTAGAATCTCGAGCAGTATTTCTAAAAGGTGGAACTAGTGTCATTATATATCCTAATTTCTAGCAAATGTATCACTTTTCCTTGAGATAATTATAAAAGAAGGGGGTGTGTGTGTGTGTGTGTATATTTCAGCTCCTGAACATCTCATAGTGATTGTTCTTTTATGGATTTCCCCCCTAAAGTTTCCATAAGTAGGAAATAGAACTACCTAGACGTATGCAGTTAACAAAATTAAAAGAGTACCTGCTGTGTCAAGCAGTGATGAACTAGTATGAAATACAATCTAAAGTGACTAGGGTCACTTGCAGAAGCCACATACTAGAGGAACTCCACCCTTTTAAAGTGGCACATGTTGTCACTCGCTGCCATCTCTGCCTCTATGCAGGAAATCACGGCTTAGGTTAAGGTTTTAAGCAGCATTATTTACAGTCACCAAGACAAAGCAGCAGCCTGAGTGTCCATCCGTAGGTGGGTGGATAAAACTAGGGGACAGTCACACAATGGAATACTAAGAAAGCCATAAAAAGGAACATTTTACCATTTGCGGCCTATGGATGGACGTGGAGAACATCATGCTAAGTGAACTAAGCCAGTCAGAGAGAGACAAAGACCAAACTATTTCACTCGTATTGGAATCTAACGAACAGACTGAACTAACAAGCGAAACAGAGACACACTCATAGACGGGGGGGGCAGATGACAGCTATGGCGGGGAAGGTCAGGGGGCGGAGGGATCGAGAGAAAGGGAAAAGGACTCACAGATGCGGACAACAGGGCGGAGACTGCGGGGGAAGGGGGTGTAACGGGACTGAATGGTAATAGAAAAAATACAATAAAAATAAGTTTAAAGAAAGTAAAAATATTAGAAAACAAAACAAACCAACCGACTGTGCCACGCTGGAGAAACATGCTGAAGGCGCCAGGGAAACCCAGACGGCCAAGGGAGCCGCGGCTCGGAGAGGAGGGGCCGGCCCTGGGGCGGGTCGAGCCCCGCGCTCCACGCTCCCGGCCTGGGGAAGCCCAGGCGCTGCTTCCACTTGCGGGTCCCCACAAACCTGGTGGTGGGCCTGTGCGTCGCAAGGCACTCAGTGACGCCAGACCGACGGAGGCCCGCCCGAAGCTGCCAGGCAGGCAGACCCCCCCGCCAGCCACTGAGGCGCACAGACGCAGGGTGTGAAGGCAGGGCTCCTTTCCATAAGGTGGCGAGGCCCCATCGGGAGGGGAGGGATGCAAGAAAGCAGATGTGACACAGGAGTCATTCTGATAAAGATGGCTCGAAGGAGAGAAGGGAACGGGGCACACATGCGCCCTGATCAGACTTGAGTGCAAGGACAACGTGGGGAGACGGGGTGCGGGGGGCCAGCGCCACGCGTGTGCCTGGAAAACAGGGAGCACCCACATGAAAACCCTGTGCGACGGAGCGCTTCGGGGAGAAGGGGAGCGCGGCAGAAGGCAGGCTAACGTCAGGTAGAGAGAGCTCCGAAGCCCTGACAAACGAGGAAAAGCGACCCGGAGGCACCTAGAGGGGAGACCAGAGCCACAGCTTCTATGAACCTGTCACTAGAGCTGTGTTACGGGGGAGCCTCCGAGGTCTTGCATCCAACCCCTAACCTGATCAGTGAAGAAACATATTACGGACTCTTCGGTGGATGGCGCAAGCCGTCACAGCCGGCTTGTGGAAGGGCCAGGACAAGGAACGGGTTCCCTGGTCTGCCTACTCGCTCCCTGAGAAGGGGGCGCTGAGGTGAAGGGAGTGGGCGTGGCCATCCATTCGGACTGGGTAGAGTCGGGGAGGCTGAAGGCCCGGGGCGCCGGCACGGGGAGACGCCAGGTCAGAGCGCTGCGAGGAGGTGGGGAGAAAGGCAGAGGCCCCTCCAGACCAGCGCGCCCCCCGGCGCCGGCCCAGGGGGCCCCTCGCGCAGAGGCCAGGCGCTGAGGAAGACATCAATCCAGAGACCAGAGGAAAGGCAGAAACGAGATTAGACCAAAACCAGTGAAAGAGCAACAGAACACGTGCGGGGTGGGCACATGCAGGCTCAAAGCTGTGAGTTTGCGGAACACAGAGGCCGTGCTTACGGTACCATTTACTAATTGTTGTGTTTCTCTGTGTTCCAACGGCAAACCTCCATCCAAGCGCCCCTGTAACAGGGACACCAACACGGTTCCTTCTAAAGGATCACGTAACTTATAAACTTCTGTTAGGGTGAAAGGAGAAAGAAAAAAGTAGACCAAGTGTCACAATTTAAGGCTGACAGAGAGGGCCGCACTGCAGACGCTGCAGACACCGAAAGGAGGGCCTGCCGCGGCCAGTAAGGTTCATGCCGATGGTGCAAAACTTAGAAACGGACAGCTCTGGGGAAAGAACGCATCGAGGCTGACTCCGGAAGAAGCAGATAATCCAAAAAGGCCCAGAGCATTGGAAGAAATTAAATCAGTAAGTAAAAAAATACCACCCCCCCAATGAAAAACCTAGACAATTTTCCTGTTTGCTTCCAAAAACCTATGAAAAACAATTCCGATCTTCCACAGCCTTCCAGAGTCGGAGGTGGGGAAACACTTCCCAGTTAATTTTATGAGGTCAGCAATACCTTGATACTAAATTCTGACCAAGGCAGGTATAAAAAGAAAAGACAAGTCATTTTACTCATAAATATATATGGCAATAGCCTAAATAATAATAACAAAAATAATCTAACAAGGTAAAATGTCATGACTAAAATGGACTTATTCCAGAAATGCAAGGTTGGTTTGGAGTTAAAAAACATCAGCCTTTACAATTTATCATATTTACTGATGGAAGGGAATTCCTATCATCATCTCAGAGGAAAACCCTCAGATAAGATTCAACACCCACGTACAGGTAACTCCCAGGCCCAGGGGTAGAAAGACGCGGGCAAGGTGCGCCAGGCGCTGCCTTTGAGGTTCAGACCAAGACGAAGGAAGCAGAGCAAGGCAAGAAAACACACCGGCCCGACGAGAGAGCCAGAGCTGCTCTCTCAGGCGGTCTGACCGTGCGTGCATGTGGACTGCCCTACAGGACCTAATGATCTGTCATCGGGAATAAGAAAGTTTAACAGGTTACAGCACACAAACTCTATTTAAAATTTACCAAACTACAGCAAGGTCTGTAAGCAAAAAATTATAAAGTTTTACTTAAAAATAACAAAGACATAAACAAACACTCATTCATTAAAAGACTCCATGCTGTAAAGATATATGTTCTTCCCAAACTGATCAATGGCTTCAAAGCCATTTCAAGTCAAATGAATTATTTCATCTTGAAGCAAGTTCAGTTCATCTCAGTGAGTTATTTTCTTTCTTCTTTTTCCCTCCTTTTCTCAGGGTGGGAAGTGTGTAACTGACAGTTGATTTTAAAATGTAAATACAAGGGCAAAGGGCCCAGATGCCCTTTAGAGCAAGATACTAGCAAAACAGATTTTTACTAACTTTATTCTCACCAGTAGGGAAATGAATGACTTTGTGACCTACCGGCTATTGTGACCAAGTCTTTTCTTAAATAACTTAAACATGTCACATGAAGTAAATACTTTAAGGACCAAGAAAAGCAGAAAGAAAGTCCTTATTCTAAAATTCTAACATCATATGAACATCTTTGCTGGCAAACAGAATTTCCAGCAAACGTTTACTCTGCCCCTCGCCGAGTCAAACGCTGCTTCCCCGGCTTCCCCTGGAAGATGTGAGCCAGGTAAGCGGCGGCGGTCTCCTGCCCTCCTGGGAAGCACGAGGAGGCCCCTGAAAAGCGGCAGTGGCGCTCCTGGCCCTCTGACTTTATCTGGTGCCAGCTTCCTGGCTACTGCTGCGACCCTCTGCCACAGCCCTTCGCCGCTTATTTGCCGGGATGGCCGTCCTTACGGCTCCCCGTCCCCTGTGTGCTCTTCCCCAGCGCCACGAGGACACCCCCAACCGCCTCTGTCCCTACCCCTGTCTCGAGTGCCCCTCCGACCTGGAACTTCCTTGTCGGCGTTCGCTGTCTGAGTCTGTTTTGGCTCCCTTGCCTCTCGCACTTCTCTGCCTCAGCGGGCGAAGGCCCCTTGGACCCCGCGCCGCCCCAGGCGCTGAAACGTGCAGCTGCTCCTCCCAGGGCCCTTTCACCCGCCTTCCAAGGACTTCCTTTACCCCTCCCCCTCTTACTTTCCCTTCAGTTAGTATTTCCTAATCACAATAATAATAATAACCATCACTGAGCATGTACCGAGCATCTGGCCGCACAGATCATTATTGTGTATCCCTCTCTTACGACCAGGAAAATGGCAGCATGGAAGGAGAGAGCCTGCCCCGGGGCGACACACCTGCCAAGCGAGAGAAGCAGGATCTGAACCCAGGAGCTGTGGTTCGGGGCCTGGGCTCTGACCCCGGGCGACAACACGGCTTCCCTCGCGCGAGCGCCAAGTCCTCCACCCCGGCCACCGCCACTCACCTCTCTACCCACAGCAGCTTCTGCCCCTACCACTCCCCTCCCGCCTTCTGAAAGGCCCCCACCAGCTGCCACCTGTCCCACCCACGGGCCACAGGCTAAGCTTCCTGTGTCCGGACCTCTCTGCAGGACCAGCCTACTAATGCTAAGGCCAGGGGGCCTGCTGTCGGCCTCACTCCGATCTCAACAGCTGCCCTAGCTCGGACATTTCTGTGCTGACGGGCATGTCCTACCTACGTGCTGCCCAATTCAGAAGCCACTACCCACAGGCCTGGGCACTAGCAGCGAGGCCAGCAGGACAGAGCTCCGCGGCCCCCTACTGGACAGTGCGGGCACTGCAGGGCGCCCGCGGCCCTGCCGGGGGCGGAGGAGCTCTGTCCTTGGTCCTTACTCCGCTCTTCCCAGCAGCCTGCCCCAGGGAGGCTTCCACGGCTACCTAAGGCTGCAGGTTTCTTTCCTCAGGAACGCCTCCCTCCCTTTGGTAGACTACTTCTTCCCCTGAAGGTCCCATAGGGCACCCCACATGTGACACTTCAGAAGCGAACATGTCACTTCCTTGTAGAGTCTCCTCTCCTGTCAGGCAGTTCCCACGCAGAGAGCGGCGGCCACGCCGTCCAGCCTGGTCCAGAGACAGACGCAGGTGCTCATCACACATCACCGCCTTCCCTCTTTGTCCTTTACGCCCCCTCAAAGCACCCCCCGGGCCTCCACTGCCGCGGCTGCAGCCGGGGAGGGCGCAGCGACCTGCCCAGGAGGGGCACGGGCCAAGTTCCACAGGGTGGGAGCACTCCCGCGCGCTGGTCAGGAAACCACCGCACACAGAGCGACGTGCTGGGCACCAAGCCACCCCGGAGGGCGGGGAGATGAAGACAGACGGTCTCCTTCTCTGCGCGTGAAGCAGCCGTTCAGAAACAAACCCCCTGGCAGCGCCCCACATTCCCGCTGGTGACCGCCAAAGACAAAATGGGTCCCTACCTTAAAACTCTAAATTTGTGGTCATCTCCTGGTGGAAGGGTCATCTGCTCACTCAACCATTTAACAAAAGTGTAACCCTAGCACGAACGCCCCTGAGTACTCTCACGCACGGAGCAATCACAGCCCGCCCCCCCACCCGGCCCCAACACTGGGAAAACCTCACCAACTCCTCACTGGGCGCACTCAGAATCTCCTAGGGGCCACGCCTGGCAGCCGGCACCTCCCAGACCAGCAGGGACAGAGTGGCCTCCGTCCCCAATGCTCCCGGGCTCCCTCCACCCAGCGCTGGCCCGTGTCCACGGCCCTGGGCCACCTGCCATTTGGCTGCACTCCGAGGAGCGCCAAGGACCCTTGGCACAGCCCCCCCTCCCTCGGGCTGGTGAGAGCGTTCTGGCAGCACAGAACGCAGCCCACATGTGCAACACACAATACACTTGCCGCGACGATCACCGTAAATGCAACAGGGCCCTCGAAATGGTCCTCGGGTCACCATGAGCTCATGGGGGCGCAGCCCTGCTGAGCCTAAGCTCGCGCCCGCGCCGGTGAGAGCCTGGCGTGAGGCCTGCCCCCAGCGCAGCCCAGGGCCTCTCCTGAAAGCCCGGCGCATTAGCGGGCCACCTCCAGAGCCAGCGCCAGGTGGGGGGCGCCAGGCCTCCCCAGCTCCTCGGCGGAAGCGCAGGAGCGCTGCCCGCAACCCGACCCTCCCAGGTCCTTCTCTCACCTTGGAGGAAAGGACGCCTGGCCACGGCACAAATATACCCACAGAGCAACTCATCGCTGGCTGCTAGGAGCTTCTGATGCCGACAATTTTGGACTGTATTTCATAAATACATAATAGGTTGCGTTAATAAATTTCTTTGGCCTTTTCAGTCGCCAGAAAGATCTTGGTATCGCCCTCGGGAAAACAATAACCTGAATAAAAAACCAAGCGAGCAAGGACGGGACAGGAGCTCCTCGCTCTGCCATCATTCGGGGGAACCGACGTTCATCTACCACAAACTCAGTGACTCAACAGGTGAGTCGGTTGCTTTAAAATAAGTGGTACTATTTCAAAAACAATTATTATCAGAAAAAATAACATTTTCTATTTAAAATTTCCATGTCATTTTTACCTTCATTACAGCACAATTAACACCAAGAAGCAATGGCGGCAACGGCTGCCCTGAAACCTGAAGCGCTGGAGGGCCTCGCCGAGCGGCTGGCTGAATGGGGCCAGGCCCGGTCCCCACACGCCCTGCGACAGTCCCCCGACATGACAGGGAGGACTCTGCAGCTCTCAGGAGTCAAGGGTCTCGAGGTGAGGGGGCTGTGCACCGTTGTCCGGGGGTCCGGGGGACCACGGCGGCCCTTCCGAGGGGAAGGGGCAGGCAGAAGAGCCGATGAGCACGTGACGATGGAGGCAGGGTGGGGGGCAGGGCTTGAAGGATTAGGGAGAGGCCGCCCCGGAGCGCAGGTGCGCACGGGACCCGGGAGAGGAAGGAGCCGGCTCTCCTCTCCCAAGAGCCTCCGGAGGAGCAAAACCCATCCCAGCCCGGGCTGCAGGGCTCCCGACCTCGGTGCCGCGAGGTTATGTCCCTGCGTTGTCTCACCTGGGAACCTCAATGCTGGCTACCACCCCAGGCGAACGGAGGAGCCGAGGCACGCGCATGACATGACATGACATGACATGACATGACGATGCCCGCTGCCCAGCGCTCTCAGTAGAGAAGCAGCAGAGACAGGCAAGGGGCGCGGCCCGGGACATGCCCACCCTCAGGGCCTGAGCCTTCCCCGCCTGGGGCCGCAGGTTCGTCATCTATGTATGAATTCTCTCCTGAGAGAGGGTTTAATCAAATGTCATTGTTTAAAAAAAAAAAATCACCCCAAAAAAGGATGTATTAGAAGTAGGTGTGTTTTTAACTAGGTACAGACACCATGATAGTTTCAATATAATTCATTTTGAATGTGGAGTGGGTAAGGATTACTCTTTTGTTAACACCTGTCACAAGAGCCACTGTTTACCAAATGGTCAGCATGTGGCATGCACGGTGCCTGCCACTTCCTCTTCGATGCTCGCAGTGACCCTGGAACCACACCGCGCCCCCCCCACCCCCCCACCCCCGCCACGTTAGAGTTGAGCAAACGAATCGCAGAATCGCAGAAAGACCGGGAAGCTGCCTGACGCCACGCAGCCGGTCGGCAGCAGCTCCGTGACTCGCGCCCCGAACGGCGGGCCCTGAGGGCCGCGAGGCTGCAGGGGCAGCGCGCCTGGGGCCCCGCAGGCAGGGGCCGCGCCTGGCCGCCCAGCGCTCCAACGGGCCTGCGCGCCCGACCGAGCCTGCGGAGCGGAGCGCCCCTCCAACCCCTCTCCGCCCCACTCCAGACGGAACCGAAGGGCCCGGGCCGGGGCCGCCTTACCTGTGCTGCTGTCCCCGCTCTCCACAGACGGTTTACCGTTTTCTGACGGATTGTTCATTCTCGAGTCTGCAATAAATCAGAGGTGAACAAAGTTTTTAAAAACTGGGGATGCAGTGGGGGGGTGCGAAACTGTGGCAGAGGGAAGGGCTGCGGATACCGACCGATGCCACAACCCACGGTTCGAGGGGGCAGAGCCGGCGCTGAAACACTGGAGAGTCAAGGTCGCGCCGACCCCGGAGTGACCCACGCGCAAGCGGTCTAATGCATTTTAAGATTCTCCCAAGGAAGACAGCAGAAATCTAACCAAGAAAGTTTGTAAGTGTCTCATGCATAAAAGGAGTAAGTGCTTTATAATACAAACATAGAATATGTTAAAGAAACAAAGCGCCTCACAAAGTAAAATATGTTGTTACCAAATAAAGTTTGGTTTCCCACAAGCAGAGATATTAATTACGACCAAAACAATCCACTAACAATCTTGGCAGCTGACTGGACAGTATACTCAACAGAATATTACCAAGGACAGCTAAGAAAAATACCTCCATGTTTGTTCCCACGCCCCAACCATCCACGCCTGTGTCAGAAGGACGTGTCAAGCTCACGCCTCAGTCAGAAGAGCCGCAGCGAAGGCGCATCAGACGACTCCTGTCCAGACTGGATGGCAGCCACACACAGCCACGCCCACTCGCCAATGATACCGCCGTGATATCCGAATGGACCTGCTGATGGGGTTCCTATCTTTCAGGGTTATCTGTTTCATGAAGATTTTCCCAGGAAAAAGTTTTCATCAGGCAACATCAGGTATCCCAGAAGACAGGCGACGGACCAGACAAGAGCAAGTCTGCTTTTCTTCTACTTCTTCAAAAGGGTAAAAACGAAGTACACATTGAATGGGCACCCTATTCCACTTCTCCTGCGAACTCAAACTTAGCATATTTATAAACCAAACAAGTTTACTCACAAGCAAGTTCTGCCTTTTCCCCACCAGGTTAAGAACCATTGAATTACTGGTTAAATGGTCAGCAGAAAATAAATACTTTAACTATATTGCATTTGATTTTTTGACCACAGAGCACACTTTGTCATCTGCTTAAATGTTTAAACAGGAAATCAAAACGATCTCGAGAGTCCCAACCATGCGGTCAGAGCAGCCCTGTCCACAAGCACGTGGGTGAGGGCGCTGTAGAAAGAAGCCCCCCGCGTGCAGCCCCCCGCCCCCCCGCACCCCTATAACGCAGGCTTTAAACGGGTGCCGGCCTTCGGTGGCTCAGGCGTAGTTTGGGGTGTTCCTCAGAGGTTCAAAGGTTCAGATCCTTATGTCTTTGGTCATAAGTGAGGGTTGTCCTACAACTTCCTTCCCCACACTGTCAAGAAAAATGTAAATATCCTCTGAGAACACACTACGGTTTGAAAGAAACAGGTGTACAACTTAGTGAAAATCAGCTTTCTGAATGACTTCACCAAAATCTTGTGAAAGCCAACAAAGATGACAACAAACGTAATGGAATCTACCATTCAGCATGCACACCGCTCACTGCTTCCTGTAGACCGCATCTTAAAACAGTCGGAAAAGTAATGAACCAGTTAACATTCATTTACAAGGATGATAATTTTCTACATATCATAAAACCAAGGAGGCATAATTCTTAGTAGGTCATGAACCTAACCTCGTACAGTTCATACCCTAATTTTTACATCCATAAATTAACAATTATATCACAGGTGTTCTAGATGAATCTTCTAAGGGTTTTCTAGTGAACAATCAAGAGCTTCAAAAACATTTAGCAAAATCACTTCACACACAAAGTAAATAAAAATTCTGATTAACTGTACAACTATGGGAAGGCTGTTTAAATATTTATTGTTAACTAAAAATAATAGATATGATTTCTAATTATAAAATATAATACTAAAAGTATTTCAAAAAGGCATTTTTCCTTTCCTTCCTTGGGTTCTCAACTTGGTAAACGCAAGAGTAAATGAGTACAAAAGTTTCTTGTTTGATACTCTGGGTGCTCCGAGCCGGCTGCGCGACTGGTCTCCCACACATGCTCCAGGTCGCTCGTGCCCTGAAGCCTGGACACCGGCTTGCGGGTTCGTCCGTTCACCTGCACCATGTGCACGTCCTCTGCTACCGCCCTGGGTCGAGCCGTGCCTCCTGCCTGAAGACCCGAACGTTTTCCAAACCACCATGTCATCCCAGCCGTGGAGACTGGGAAGGAGCTGGGGGTGGCCTCGGGTTCTCAAATGGGAAAATGACACCCAGGAAAAAAACTGTTTGTGAAGGCGGGAAAGACAGCACATCGTCCGTCCGACTCTGCAGGTGACCAGATTAACCAAAGAGAGTTCCACCGCTTTGCACACAGACAGACAGACCTCAACACAAAATACAGCCAACAGGAGCCATCCTACATCTATAAGCCAAAGTGGCTCCATTTAATTTAAGTCTTAGTCACCAAAGAGGATTTACATACTCAAGCCAGACAGCCTCACCCCAACAGGCCTGTTGTTCTCTAGGGAAAACTCTAAAAATGGGCTTTCCAGGACTTCACATTGTTTTCTGAAGAAGAGAAGGTAACTCTTGAAAATAGAACAGGCTAATATCAGTCAGGATTGGGCAAGTCCCGTCCCTGGGATCCAGGAGCTCCTGGAGCTCCCCCTCCGCCTGCCGGCACTCCCAGGGCGGCCGCCCTGAGCCGGCACCCCCGGGACACCCTGCACCCCGCTCCTTCTGTTCCCCAAGTCCTGCTTGTTTTATAGAAGACATTCGAGGCAAGTATGCAAAACATTTTCATTAATACACATATTATTTAGATACACTTTAGACCTTGTTTGCAGTCTAAAGTATTTTCAGAGCTATATGACACGTTCTCAGTAGAAATTTCCAAAAAAAAAAGCAAAAATGTCCTCCATTCAAGCTGAATTCTAAATCCTATTTATTGAAAATATCCTCTGAGCCAGAAGAGCTAGTGGCAGGGAGGGACCTACTACAAGTTCAAACGCTCTGCTTTGCAAGCGCTTCCCCTTCCCGCTCGTCCCGGTCTCCGTCCCCCTCCCCCAGCGGCTGCAGGTGCCGTGAAGCTTTGCTGCAGTCAACCGCACAGCCGCTATTTCCATATGAAAGCTCCTAAGTAAGAACTCCGCTGGCACCCACCTAGAGCAAAGTCACTGCAGTCCAGCATCACTGTGGGATCTTCTCGGCTCACAGTCCAGGGCAAGGAAGATACAGGTGGCGGTTTGGGTGGGGTCAGAGGGTACCACGGTTCCTAACAACTCTAAGAGAGCAGGGTGGGAGGTGGGAAGTGGATGGGGGAGAAGCAAACTACCACTTCAGTTACGCCACAGCCATCTTCAACTGAGTAGGGAAACTTCGGTTGCTCAGAGGAGTTTTAGTCTCTCCTACCAGCTAGGACTGACATTGTCAAGGCAACTGAAGCATGAAAAGTTCCCCTTTCTGTAATAAAATAGAAACAAAGATTGCAGCTGGCAGTTTCCATAATGAAGCTTAATCAGTATGCGCGTGATTAGGGCCTTATGCAAATCTCTCCTCGTTAGCACAGCAGCCAGCACTTTGAAGTCCATGAACAATTCATTTACAGAATACACTGAAAGCACTCCCTGCATAATTTAAATCATTGCATAAATATTTATCAGTCCATTTGCATATTAATTGGCAGTGCATGAAGAGAGAAATTATCTCCTGAGTGCCAGCATAATAATTAGGAGGATAAAATGAGATTTCTGCCAATGGCCTGGCTTCTCGGACCTAACTTGTGATAGTGCGGCGGGAAAAGGGGGGGACAGGAGACAGAGCTCTGCTACACGCCACTGGAATGACACGTACAAATTAGAGACAACTCTACAGACTTAAGCACCTTTCATCTTATTCCTGCTGGCAACAATGACTTCAGTAATAAGAGGATTTGCAAAAACCTTTCTACAGAACCCAAATAATCCCAAGGAAACAATTAGCAAGGTAGAAGCAGAGCTCAGGACAGCGGTGCCCGCCCACTGGGGGGCCTCTCCTGAATCTGACAGCACCGCCGGGAAGGTGCCGCTCCCGGGGCGGGCACTGCGCAGGCCCAGCGGCAGGCGGGCCCGGCCCCCCACCTGCCCTCAGCCCACCGCAAGCTCGGACCTTCTCCGAGGCGCCACACGGCCACACAGGAGCCTCCCTGTCAAACTCTATCTAAAGTGCCAGGCAGCTGGTTACTCACAGTAGCAACCAGCAGAAAACGCTCCATGTACATTGAGGAATTACTTAGTATTTCAAGCAAATTCTACTTCACAGATATGAATATGTGTGCGTGTATGCGTGTATGTGTGTAAAAAGCCCTACTAAACAATACAGCTATCCAATTTAAACTGAATCTACAAGGTAAAACATCAATCACAGTATGACAACATTTCATTCGAATCATTATGGGGGGTTCAGGACCTTTATGAAACCATGGGAAGTAGACATTACTACCTCTTCTAAAAATAAGGCCGCTGCGCCCTGGCTGGCGTGGCTCCGCTGGCTGGAGTGTTGTCCTGTGCACCAAAGGCTGCAGGTTCGATCCTCAGTCGGGGCGCAGGCCTGGGCTGTGGGCTTCATTCCCGGCTGGCACGTGTGCAGAAGGCCACTGATCAATGTCTCTCTCTCCCTTTTCCTCCCTTTCTCTACGACTCTAAGATCAATGAAAGTATCCTTGGGTGAGGACCAAAAAAAAAAAAAACCCAAAATACAAAACACTGGACACTGAGCCACAGAGGCTGCAGCGCTTCCCTCAAGGTCCCACAGGTAAGATGGCATCAGAGTTCAAAGCCAGACCTGGCCGGCATGGAAACCTGCACTCGTGGCTCTTACACTTGAGGAGCAAGGTGTGCGTGGAGGGTCTCAGTAGGCATGGGGGGAGGGGCCTCAAATAAAGCCAGACTAAAAGAGCCTGTTTTCAGTGTGGTGTGCAGCAAGGAGACCAGCAACAGCGGACCAGGATTTGCGTTTAGAAGCCAAGTGTTCGCAGACACACAAACCGCGTCCCTAACTGGCGTGACCCCGGGGGTGCTGTCCCATTAACCCCCAC